TTTAGTCAGAGACTATGCACGCTCTGCCTACCACCTAGGCAGTAGGGCTTAGTAGCTAATATCTATATACAGGTGGGTTATGCTATAGACCAGTCAACAGTGGGAACCTTCTATGAGGGACAGAAATAGGGAATGAGAGACAGGCTGTAGTATAATGTAAAGAAATCAAATGTTAAGGAATAGTAGGTATAGGTGGATTTAACAAAGACAAAGAAATGAGAGAAAGAACAGAAAAAAAAAACACAAAGGGGAGTCAGGATAGGAGAGGTGGCTTAATAAGCATGATTAGATAATCTATGCCTAGTAAGCCTGGTTCTATGGGTTAGACTAGGTAGTAGGGTTCTTGCTTAATCATTAGCTCCTATGTGCCACTTCCTAGTGGCTATTTTTGTCTCCTTTAGGAATTCAACTAAACTTTCTTGGCCGTCCTTAGAAAAGAGATAGAAAAGATTATAATCTTTTCTATCTACCCTAGAGAATGCTCTATATCTGACATCTCTATAGGCTGGGCAATGGAATAGTAGATGATATGGGGTCTGCTCCTGATTGGTTTGGCATAGATTGCATGTTCCACTATTATATGCAGGTAGCCTGACTAGGTATGACCTAAAATACCCATGACCTAGTTTTAGCTGAATAATAGATGACCACAGTTGCTTAGTCAGCTTTAATGGGCTAGGTTTCCACTTAGGCTGCACTTTAAATTGCTTATAGTGGTCACTAATCTTGGCTTTGCCCCATATATCTTGCCATTCTTCTAAGGCCTTTGATTTTAGCTTCTTTTTTAAGAAGCTAATAGATAGGAAGGTCTTAGGGTCTTTTTCTGACCAATCAGCTCCATATTTAGCACATTCATCAGCTTTAGCATTCCCATATATGCCCATATGACCAGGGACCCAATCTAGGTGGATTTGAACCCCTTTTTCACTGATTTTCTGAGCCCAATTGTAGAATAGGTCACATGATTCTGAAACCCTTAGCCTAAAGTCTTATAGCCAGCAAAGTATGTGGCTTGGTATGTCCTTGAGCCTGTGGCATTACACTGTTACAGCCTGTTACAGTTGATTAGTATTACTATTAGAATATAAGCTAATTTTTTATATATGATAATTTTACTATGTTACTATTTTATAAGAAGTATTAGTTCTAAAGCTCATCCCCTTTATAAAGGAATATATAAAGGACTATCCTAATACTATAGTCTAAGAAGATAATATATTAGCCTATACTTACTATACTTAAGAAGAGGTATATAGCTTCTATAGCATTAAATACTTATTATGGCCTAGTAATTTATTAGACCTTAATATAATTAAACTATATTAGATATAGGTAAAGAAATAGACAACTCTTTATAGTATACTAGCTAATAAGAAGACTTTAAAAGATACTTAGCTTTATATTTAAAAAAGCTACCATAGGAGTAGATCTAGCAGTAGATTAAGCAAATTATATATTATATTAAGGAGGTTATTTGCTTAGAGGGTAGTAATAAATATAAAAAAGGTTATATAGGTAAGGATTCTTATAGTTATAAGGGGAGGCATATAAAAGAGAAGCTTTTAATATAGAAGCTGTAGGAAAATATTGATAGAGACTAAGAAGATATTAAGGATGGGGAGACTTCTAAGATACTGAGGTTAGTATAGTAAATTAGGTGGGGGGCACAGTACTGGCTGAAACATGAAAATTACTAGTGTCTGTTAGCATGTGTGGTTTCTTTTGATGCCCTCCTCCATATCCTCCATATAGGCTTCACAGTGCCTTCACTATATATAGGCATTATAGTGCCTCCTGCATAGGCTCCCTCAAAGGCTTTATATAGGCTTACATTACAGGCTTGTAGAGGGCCAAAAGTCCAGAGCAATTAGTAAGCCTAGGTATTCTTTCCCCTTCAAGCCTAGATGAGCAGAGCGAGTTGTTGAAGGCTTGTAAAATAATAATAAATTAGCAGGGGTATTCAAAGTACGGAGTACAGAGCAATCCCTTGATTTTCCTACCCTGTATGCTACGGGAACTAACATTGTGGGTCATGTCACGTGTTACTCACTCTTAGTTCTGATTGAGGTCACATTACTCCGTATGTTTTTCCAAGACAGCAAAAAAGTTGACGGTTCTGATGTTATCCAATCCGCAAACTTCTGTCATCAACACCTTTCAAAGCAGCATTCTAATACCCTTTGTCATAGACTATCATTCCTGACTCATTACTTTCTTTCTTTATATTTGTGACTCTCTCCTCTTCTCAGGCTTATTTGGTCTCCGTCCTTTCTCTCCACAATGGATCACTCCCGCGACCCCTGTCCCTGGTAATGGTTTTCTCCATCCTGTATCTCATCTCTGATTAACTGACTCGGTTTGACAAGGGTCGCCTTGTCTGACTTTGGAGGGGCTTTCTGCATGGGTGTATGTGTTCTTGTTCCAAAATTAGATGTTGATGTGTTTTGTTACTGACACTCTGTATAGGCTATCGGTGGTGCAGTCTGGCATGGTGTTAAAGGTTTCAGAAACAGCCCCTATGGAGAGCGACGGATAGGAGCCATCACCGCCATTAAGGCGCGAGCACCCGTTCTTGGCGGCAACTTCGGTGTATGGGGTGGCATGTTTTCGACATTTGATTGCGCGATTAAGGGAATCAGAAAGAAGGAGGACCCTTACAATGCCAGTATGTCTACTCCTGGACAGTCTCGATTTTTTTTAAAAAAAAATTCCGATGTTATATACTCACGAGCTTCTAGTTATTGCTGGTTTTTTCACTGGTGGTGCTCTAGCGATTAGAGGAGGATACAAGGCTGCCCGGAATTCAGCTATTATGTGCGCTGTTTTCCTGGCTGTTATCGAGGGTGTCGGTATTGGTTTCCAAAGAATGATGGCAGACAACACAAAGCTAGAGGTGAGATTCATTTTCGTTTGGATCCATAGTCTCCCTGCTTTCAGCTTCTTCATGATCGGTGTTCCTGAAACTGACTCCTGGCGTTCGAATTTAGCTTCCACCTCCGCCTTCAACAGAAAAGGCAATTGCTTAACTTACCTCCTATACCTCCTATCCTCTACATTGTCGCTTCTAGATTCTTCTTACGCCAGCTCTGTACAGTATTGTATCATATCAACTCTCTCTTTCCTCAGGTGTTCGGTCAGGGTCATAAATCTAAAGAGGCATGGCGAGATGTTTTACGTTCTACTTAGAGATTTGCTTGTGTTCTTATTCCACTCAAGGTAGCTATGGGAGATCTCATTGCAGAGAAACAGATTGATTCCAGAGCCAATTCATCGTCTTTAGTAGGCTGGCCGTGGAATGGGAAATCAGGTGCATGGTCCTATCCTATTATCTTACAGGGAGATAAAAGGAAATCCTATTAATCATAGGCTAGCAGCTACGCTACCATCGTACAGGTGAAAATGCAGCCCCATCAAATGCCATTTACGTCTGCTGCTTTAACAAATCACATGGAGTGCTGATAGAGAAGGAGAGCCCCTTACTTCCGATCTCTACAGGCGTGCTAGCATAAAATTTTGTGACATTGAATGCCTAGGTCATCGCAGTCCACTGCATGTCTAAATCGAGGCAGGTCGTATGGCCGACAGAAAGGCGATGCTGTTGGTAGACTCAGGAAATCTTATCTGCCGTCCATAGTTGCGTTGTCAACTCTATGTCACACGGACAACCCGGGAAGTAAATTTGGCCCTATGAAGACATTGTATGAGTATGATATCTATATTTATGATTATGTCTTGTAACTGTAGATACACTATGTATCAACGGAATCGGCAAATTCCCATAAGGAGATAACTTCTACAGCCTCCAGCAGAGAAAAAAAAATCAGGCTTCCTTTCTTCATTTGTGCTTGTATCAGTTGTGTCAGTGTCACCTGAACTTAATGCACCAATGTAGTATAAGCTGACTTACCTACCTAGGTACCTAAGGTAGTTTGAAGTAAACCCTCTAACCCAAATTAGGCAGTAAACATTTTTAATTCGAGGTTCTTAGTCAAGCAGTACTAATCAGTCTAACTACTAAATACCAAGAGTTGAAGACACCTCGAATTCAATCTTCAAATGTGCTTTTCTTTTTGACGAAGACACTGGTCAGCAAGTCCCTCTAAAGTACCCGTACATACATGTTCCCTAGTATGTCTCGTAGCATAGAGGAACAGCGCTGATGTGTTGATAGGCTAGGGTAAGAAAAATGGCCATAATATCTAGCATTAGACACTCTCCAGGACCCGCTCTTTAAACTCCCGCTCGACCTTATGGCCCTTGTCGTCTGTCGATGATTCCCCATGCAAGTTCAACAACGCACCGAGGTCGAATTTAGGCGCCTTGAGAAGCTTGACCTTGCGAATGTGGACCTATCAACAGCATAGGTTAACAAACCTCGGACTTCAAGAGCTAGGGCAGCTAGCTTTTGCATACATTTTGGAGGGGGTAAATGCCCTGAGTTGACTTTTCAATTTCACGACCAATGACTTCTGGAATGAGTTTGGTCGTAAGTTGAGAAAGGCTGCAGCTGGACGCTTCACGCTGGATGATCTCAGTCATTTTCTTCCGAATGGCACGAATCTGGGATGATCTAGCGTAGGTCGTCTTCTTGATCTGATTCGGGCGTCTCTTTGTGAAGGCAATGGCGAAGAGGCGAAGGAGATAGTCATCAGTAGTTTTCACAGTCACATTTGCCTCAATCAGAGTCTGCCATTTGCGAACCAGAGATCGCAACTTGTCTGTTGTGAAGTCCAACCCGTGAAAGTTGGTGAGACAGTTCTTGCCTTGGACCTCATCCACGCGGAGCTTAATCTTGCGGAAGGCGTGGTCCTCGTCATTCTGCAGATCAGCAAGCGAGACCTCGAAGATTCGCCCCTTCAGTGCATCATTGGCGTTCTTCAGACCAGTAGTCCGATTGACAAGTGTCTTTCCAACGCTTAATTGGTAATTGTCAGCAAGTTTCTCCGTAGGATGAAATAGGGTGCCGCGTGTAGCACGGCTAAGAAGACTCAGCAAGGAGGTTCATACTCTCGGATCTGGAAGGTCGAAGGGGCCTGCATAGTCGTTAGTATAGCCTCGACAATAGGTCGGGAAACAGCAAACCTTGACAGAGTATTCATCCTTCCTAGAGAAAGGATCAACGGTCCTCTTCTTCAGGCCCTTCTTACCCTTCGACAAGCGCTTGTTCCTGAGTAAAGAAAAATGTCAATAATTTACGTTCCATTCTGTCAAGTAATTTTGCGTGAAAAAAAGGCGATCGAGATGTATACAGAGCGCCTTACTTTCCAACAGCCATCGTTGCGACTCGAGTCTATCTCGCTATAGCAGAAGACAGACTATTTGATCGCAGACTCGCTGTGAGTTCCGGGTCGAGATGGTTGAAGGTGCCGATCCGTGGAGTGAAACACGGGATTCAAAAAAGCGCACACAGATGTCAGTTTAAGCGAGGTCTCCGCCCTAACATGACTATTACATAATCACACTGGCTTATGTCATATCGTAAGACCCACATGATTCATGAATACGGACTAGGCTAAGATCGACTGTGGATCTTCTAGCTCAAAAGGTGGCTGCACTTGCAGGTGTACAAAGTAGAATTCAATGCTCTGTAATGCCAACCCAGATCTACTATACTATCCTAGTTTGTATCTCCCGGTTTCCTACACTTGTCAAGAGAACTTGCATGGTGGAATCATCTTGTGAGTAACTAGGTATGCAAAATTTGTTTAGTCAAGAACGAAGTACTTCCATTCTCAGAATCATTATGAATAAGTCTCTAAATCCTAATTGTACTGTGTACAAGTTCGCCTGCTTGAGATAACCCTTTCATGTGAGGCATGATGTGAAGTTCTTTTTTTTAAAAAAAAAGATCCTGCACCTAGTTGATGGTTGCCATAATTTCATGTCCTCGGATGCATATGTGTTGGTTTAATATGATATGTGGCAATTCTATCACCGTTGGAATATTTTTATTATTGCTGCTTGACTAATATCGAGTTTTCAGCAGGAGAGAGAACATATCTTTTGAGAAGCTGTTTGAAGATCCATCATGGTAAGGACTGAATTGCAGTGCTTGTGTCTCGCAACTTGTACCTTGAGAGTGTTACTGACAATATGTCTAGGGTAAACGAAAGAAGTCAAGCAGGAAACCCCAGGGTCCCAAGAAAGAAAGTAGTTCGATTTTCATACATTCTGATTGTACTAACTGCTGTACCAGAGAGAACCGCTGCCGACAACATTTGCATGTCTCTTTTGTAATCACGAAAATTCTGTCACAGTGAAGCTGGATAAGAAGCTAGGCCTGGGTAATTTGTCATGCAAAGTCTGCGGACAACGCTTCCAGACTGGTATAAACTGTGAGTCTCTGAGTCCATAGTCGTTAGTAGTGTTACTAATACCCTTCCTATTTCTAGATCTCTCAGCAGCTGTTGATGTCTATTCAGACTGGGTTGATGCGTGTGATGCAGTTGCTAAAACAACTGCAAATAAATATGAACAAAGCGATTCCCATGGTGGCCAAGGCTCATCAGCCTCCCCAAAGCAGGCCGTGGACCATGGCAATGTGGATGTTCCCTACGATGATGACGATTACTAATATCTTGTTTGAATTTAATAAACAGTGTTCAAGGCAATCAATCCACTCCCTATCCTCAAGAAAGTACTAGAGGACATTCTCCATTGTTCCTGCTATGAATCCATACACACTGCATCCAGAGGCCCTAAGACTTTGACCATCAAATACATATGTCCATGGTTTAAGGATAATTCGACCTTGCGACTTCAGAGCAGCGCTTATTGGAAGCAATGGGAAAGGCCAACAGGTCCAGATCCTTTTCGGGAGAATCCACCCTGGCCCTGGTGCCCAATTTTTCCCTTAGTCTTTCATTTCCACTGACCGTATTGGCTGAAGTGATGTTTTGTACGAATCTATAGAGTGTAATATCTATCACCGAAGTCACCGAGGCCTGGAATAATGTATCTGTTGAAATAAAATTAGCTAATAAGCCGATGAAGGTAGCGTTCTTCAGCTCACATACTTCTTCTCGTCTAATCCCTGGTCGATAAAAGCTGTCACTACTCTGAGTTTCGGAAACCGTTGAGCGAAATCTGCAACCCCAGAAGGACTGGCTATAAGATTTAGAAAAAGAATACGCTCTTCCGGCACGCCCTTGGATTTCAAAACTTCAACGGCCATCGTTGCAGAGCCACCTACTCCAAATTTAGCGACAGCACAGACATCATGGATAATATAACTACCTGTTGCAAACATGGGGTCCAGAAGAAGGACCCATCTCTGCGCAATATCAGCGGGGAGCTTCTCATAGAACAGTTTCGGACGGCAAGTCTCTTCGTCTCTTTGAATCAATATCTTCCCGATGCGGACTGATCGACAGCAATCTCTCAGTCCTTGTTCCATAGCTTCTCCTGCCCTCATGATCGAGACACCACAAATCTTCCCCTGGAATTTGACTCCCAAATAGGAACGGCCAACAGGAGTCGTGACGGACTGTTCCACAACAGGCAGATGGTTCAGGCCCTCTTCGACCAGAAGCCGAATGATGCGGTTTGAGTAGAATATGAAGTCAGCGCGCCCGGTTCTTTGATCCCTTATCATTCTTCAATAGAGTTAGTACGAACATATTTAAACGTATGTTTTGTTATCCTTACGTTAGGAGCGCGATCAATTGGGGGGTTTGGGGTAGAACATGAACATTCTCATAGGAGACATCTTTCGACACTGTTGCTGTTGGTTTCTCACCATCAGGTCGGTAGAATGGTCCCACACCTTGAGCAGGTGAAGGAATATGTTCACCCCTCTCTGTAGTCATTATAGTTGAGTATAGAGTGGGGTGATCGAAGTCAAAGACGGTTAAAGATGAGTAAAAAAGGAGAAAGCGGCTCAGGAGACCTAACGGAGTATTTAGTTGCAGAACTCCCGAAGAGACATATGTACATCTACATCCTTATCAACGTGCATGGATAACATGCTTTCTTGAGCTCCTCAAGTCACACCGCTCAATGGGACTAGCCTCGGATGAAGGCACAATATTTGATCATATTCTTCAGAGTTGAAACATCGATGTCGTACTTGTTCTCTTTAAAACCAGGCGGAAAACGCACTTAATCCCTTGTACTAGATAAGTAACACAGATAACACAGTAGCTCTATTAAGTCCATGTGGACAAGCAGTTTAGACACATACACGTTTGATATTCCTTACAAATTGCGAAAAACAGACTTGGATACACTTCGCAGAGTTAGACAAAATCTACATTTTTCTCCCTTTGAGGTTCATGGATAAGTAGTAAAGCTGCTTAATCTGAGCATGTCAGGATATCTTGATTTCTGACTAAAAAGATTAACAGAACAACTTGAGACCACAGGTTTCTGTCATGTCCTCCGTCATGTCATCCAATTTCGGATTGTGCTTTCTACAGTACAATAAGGTTTCTCTGTAGAACCATGAGATACGCTGCCGGAGGCCCTAGTCCTGATAGTGGCTACCTGCCTAGGTACCTACCAACTCATTTTTAGCTTCCTGGCTGTTGGATGTCAAGCCATGAGAAAGAATGCATTTCTTTTTCTAATAATCTGTTTACTATTGACGCGGGGTAACAACCCTGCATGTATGGCAACCTGGATTGAGGCTCCACCCTTTCACGATTGCAATATCGCAAGAGGCAGTTTGACCACCATCAAAACTGAGGAAGGCCTTCAATGCATGAAGGAATGAACAGATACATGTATTGACTGCATGCAGGTGATTACGAGTGACGCTAATGTTATCTGGGATTGTCTGGAGGTCGCTCATGGAAGCCTCTTTGCCATCCTCATACAATGTGCGCGGTTCTTTTGTCACAACAGTCTATTTCAACCTCCACAACTTCGTTTGCTAATCATGTCATCTTACAGAGATAGCTTCCCTAAAAAGGATCTTTCTCCCTAATGATACTTCCGACACCTACCGCTCTGTCAATCTTTCTCCTGGCATAATTTGAAAGTTGCACGAAATTGACTGACGATGGAGGGGAATATACCCGAACGCCGTCGCAAGCTGATGACGTACGGGAAATCATCGAAGAAGCAGATCCAACACATGAATAAGACCATAAAATCTCAGTCGCCACAGAGCGCTCCCATTGCAGGCTCCAGAAATGGCTTTGGCGAAAGTTCCCAACTTCGGCCTCAAATACAGTCGCAACCACAAACACCGGAAATGGGCCATCACAGTCGCGAAAGGCATCCCGCTCCCAAGAAGCTAAGACATACCTCAAGTCATAGTTCCGAGGAGAGGGCGACGAATGCTTGTGAACATGCTTCTTCTAGTGACGATAGGCAGCAAAACCCGAGGACTCCAAAGAGACGTAGAACATTGACCGGAAATCAGGAGCACATACTTCAGAAGGATGGCGTCTTCAGCTCAGCTACTCCTTATGCTTCTCCGAAAAGGCGACACAACACTCTTGGAGCTTGTAAGAAAAGGACATCTTCAAGTTATTTGTTTGATACTAATTGTCGTTCAGTTGGTGTTCAATCGAATGAGTTAGAATCTAGTGTTCGCAGCAGATTATCATTCACCGAGACAAAAAGCACAAGAGGTCTGGAAATTTCTGCTGAACCAGAAAGCGCCTCCCAGAAGTCATCTGCTGGGTACCTGGTTTCATCGAAGACTTCTGATATCGAATTCGAACCAGATGGTCTCGAATCGACGACGTCTCCTTTGCGTCACGACTATCCATACCGAGAAAGGAGTTCTAACATGCACAAAAACATAGGCCCCGATGATGGTTATTTGGTGTCTCGACAGCAATTGTCAGATCTAACATGCCCAGACCATTCTGAACTATCCATATACTATTCCCTGTCAACCCCCATGTCATCTGGAGATATTGTTGCTAAACGTCAAGATGGCTCTTCTACCCGTAGGAGACTGGTAGACTCCTTAGGTATACATGATCCCATTGGAGCGAACAAATCTAGTGACTCTGATGAGAATTATGAACTGCCCACGTCATCCCAGGCTTCTGACACAGCTCGGGATGATGTTCCAACTGAACGCCGTCAGTCCCTTGAATTGCGTCATAAAAAAGCTGACCGAATCGCGAATACAAGTCTTTCATCTCAGTCCAGCGGTTCAAAGATTACATATGCACGCCAGCGATCGTTTCTGAGCAACATCGATATTTCGGAAGACCTAAGGGATATTGATAACCAGGCTGATTTGCATCAACCTATATGTGGTCCACTAGAACCGGCCAATCCAACCTCATCCATCGAGAGTGACGAAGCCACCGGGCTTGGATCAGTCAGAAGCATCCACGAACTTCGACAAGCCGGGAAAAATGTTCGATTTCAAGGAGTTGTCGATTCTATATTTGAAGATGTTGAGGATGCCGCTAATTCAGTGTCTGCTCGACAAGATGGCTTAATCCAACTCTGTGAGAAGCTCTCCGACATGCAATTTGCACGGCGCTTTGTTGAAAGTGGATGCTTCAGGCGCTTAGCGAGTTGCATTACAGCTCAACTCGATGCCATTTCATCATATCTCGCAATCTGCGCATATGCTTTTATCCTTTGTGTCGGTGCCGTACCTTCAAGTGTTACTATGACTTTTTGGCCAAGGATTTTGACCCTGATACCATCGTTGCTCGCGATGGATGAAGATATCTCAACGCTCGTGGCGCAGCGTCGATATAGTCTGTCTAAAGCGAGTCAAGCGGCTATACGGGATCTATCCTCTCGCCTACGCGAGTCTACAGTTTTCACTCATCAGTTGCCGTCATGGCTTTCTCCACAACGAATTCTACTTCGCTCTATGCAGTTAACCGTACGGAAATTTCGGGAAAGAGGAGAGACTGCAAACATTCTTCCTTATTTTGCTGTGCGTGAGCTGACACAGCTGCTTCTGAAACATTCTATGCATATCAGAGATCTTGACTCTACACAAAAAGATGTTCTGATTTTGGAATCAACTTTATCAATCCTTGAGGTGCACACGACTCTGTCTAGCTCTCTTGGAGATGATCATCATAATGCTCTAAAACCACTTGCCCAATCTAGTCACTTGCTTTTCACACTGGGCCTCTTGAATAGGGGTCGTTCTAGTCAGCTCCTCATTCTGCACCTCAGGCTTATTTTGAACATTACCAACAATAACCCATCACTTTGCGAGGACTTTGCCACTTCGGAATTCATTCAGGGCCTCGTCAAAATAATCCTAACACATTTCAAAATGGCATCCGGAGATCTCATCGGCGAGAATAAAGATTCACTTGATATAGTAATCCTGGCTCTTGGTGCCTTGATCAATCTGACGGAGGAGAGTGCGACATCAAGAAGGATTATTTTTACTCTCGAGATCGATTCCAACTCATTGCTCGAACACCTTCTCCATTTATTCTCCACGGGTTTGGACACCATTTCCGAAGTAAGATCATCCTCTATTGCTCAAAGTTATTTTTTCCTGACATATGTATCAGGCTGATTCTGTTGTCCAAACACATTCTAACGTTGCTTTTGGATATCTGTCTGTCCTACTTTGTACTCTGTGCCTTGACATGGAGGTCCGCTCTCGTCTCAAGATTTCGCTGGGGGGCACGGGTCTAGCCCGGCTTCTCGCTACGGTGGATGAATTCCTGCACTATCATCGAAAAGTTGACGAGGAACTACAACAATCTCAAGCAGAGAGTGGTCCTTTGATAGAGTTTACCTCGAGACTTCAGGGAATCTTGAATCAAATCCGAGCAATCGAAGCGGGAGCTTAGATTACCTAGCAGAGGCATGTAGGTCTGTGAAACAGAATGACCTGCACAGCTCATCGCCACCGAAAGCAAACCGTTCGAAAGTATATCTGTTGTGTGAATTCCTATCTGTACGTACATACATGTTACGATCCGGTTTGATGAATCTGCCAGGTTCTGCATAATACACGGGGGATATGCACAGGTATTCTTGGGATTGATAGTTCTGCAAGCAATCGGTATCCCATGGTGATAGTCTCCTTTCTATTATTAAAAATAATAATTTGTATGAAATCTACAAACCCCCTATTATTTTGAGAGGAATTAAACAACAAGGGTTCTATTAGTGATGACATATGGTAAAGAAATGTATAAAGAATAGAGCATATTAATAAGGAATACCTGGGTAGGAGATGAGAGACTCTACTTAATAATAGGAGCAGGCTTCGGGAACAAAAGCCATAGACCAGGTAAGGCTTCTCATCTCATAATATTATGTGACCTAATACTATTCCCGTGCATTCTGAGCGCTCCCAGCTTGCTGTCTACACGGCGGGGCTCCGCCTTGACTAATCTGTACATGCCATTAGTGACGGAGCACACTCCGTACTCCGTAGTTAAAAAATACCCGAGAGTCGGCAAGAGTCCTTTAGGATTGTGGTGGCGCCGCCGCGCCGTCCTTGGGAGTCGTTTTCCTTCTAGGCTCTTGCCGCCCACCGCCGGGCATCTGGCACCTGCAGGCAGCTACCTACCTAATCAGCTACTATTACCTAACGCGCCTTCATTTCATCATCGAACTCCACTAGTTCATTTCGAGGGGAAAGAAAGCCCAGCGACAACGACATTACCGTCTTTCGTTGCTCAATTGTATCTCATTAATAAACACAGATATATTTTGCTAATCCCATTATTGCGGGAGAGAGCCTCTTTTAAATTACATGTTTGTGTATTGGACAATCATCTCCCCTCCTCTAGCCGGCTTTCACTAGTTGCGGACAGCATCATCGGACCGTTGCAGTAACCCCTTTGCTCTGGCTTCAGTGCCCATCAACAGCGCAGCCCTCGTGGGTCTTCAGAAGTTGTTTTGGTGATTAAAATCCCAGTAAAAGCGGCAAAATGCCTGCGCCGCCAAAGCAGCGAAAGATAGCCATTGTTGGCAGTCGATCCGTCGGTATGCGATCAAAAACTGCCCAGTCCATCACTGCTCTTTTTAAGTTGCACCATGGGGCTGCGGGGCTTGTATACCGTATTCATCTGGTACGTTGCTGACAATTTCTTCAAGGGAAGTCGTCTCTCACCGTTCGTTTCGTCGACCATCATTTCGTGGAGAGTTATTATCCGACGATTGAGAACACATTCAGTCGGATAATCAAGCATAAGGGCCAAGACTTTGCAACAGAGATCGTGGATACTGCTGGACAGGTAGCGAAGCAATCCACAACGCATTAAGCAGCTACGCTAAGACCTGTGAAAGGACGAATATAGCATCCTGAATTCGAAACACTTCATTGGAATTCATGGATATATGATCGTGTACTCGGTTGCTTCTCGTCAGTCATTTGATATGGTCACTGTCATCAGAGAGAAGATATTGAATCATCTGGTAAGGCTGGATAGCTGAAGCCGAATCTACAGCACTGGTGGTACTGAGATGTACAATCTAGGGCGCAGACTGGGTGCCGTTGGTGATTGTCGGAAATAAAAGTGATCTTAAACCCGACCAGCGACAGGTGTCACTGGAAGAAGGTCGCCAACTAGGCGAGCAGTTTCACTGTGCTTTCACTGAGGCTAGTGCTCGCCTTGACTACAATGTCGCGAAGGCGTTCGATCTGATGATTGGAGAGATCGAGAAATCTCAAAATCCGTCCCAGCCAACAGGCGGAAGTAAATGCGCTGTTATGTAGGACGAATACCTGAGACTTCAAATGTTTAGTGACTCGATATCGAATGGCGCGGATGGAGTATATGCACCACGGCTTTCTCACCAGCGGGGTGTATAAATCCTACCCGATATCTATGTCCGGCTTTCTTGTCTCCGTGCGCTGTGAAGCTTTTATTCTGAGGGATCTAATAAGAATACTTCATTCTGTTTCTACGGAGTAAACAGATGCTGCGTGGTGTGGTTTTCCCCTTTTATTTCTCTTTTTTCTTTTTCTTGGGAATTTGTTATGAACACTGTGATGCTATAGACTTCCTTCCAAAACAAATATTGGCCATCTTTTTAGTGTGCTTTTTATTTTAATTACTATTCATCGAGGTGAAAATATGCTGTCTGGCGTATGTTACTTACTAAGCATGAGCGCTGATGTAAGCCTGATCCAAAAAAATGCATGTTCTATGAGCACAGAGTATGGTGAGGTCTAGGCTCGATAAATCGCCAGGTGTACTCGGTAGTAGCGGTGAACATCGCTGTCTTTCATACAATCAAATTGGACAGGTCCTTGAAGGACACGGTCATCCTCATGGAGGACGCAGCAGGCGGGGGTCTGATTCCCACTAGGAAGGTCTTTTTTCTAATTTGTTTTATTGATTATCCGTGTTGTATAACTTTGTTTTCCTTCCGAAATGTAGATGTGAAGGTGCCAGTTGTAAAATAGTACTCTGAGCGAATTTTACAAGCAGATAGCTTAGTCAGCACCTGTCTTTAGAAATTACTCCGTATTGGCTTCCTGCCTCCCCTACCTATACCTAGTCTGTACATTATCAGCACCCCTTCAGTGCCTCCATCTACTAATATAGGCTTCCCTATAGGTTTTATATAGGCTTACATTACAGGCATTTGGCCCGGAGCATTCAAGTATAAGGGTTTAGGAGCAATTTATTTTAGGCTTTACCATAAGCTTTAGGGAGTAGTAATAGGTATTTGTATACCTCCTACCCATTAAGCCTCACAAATAGAGCATGGGATTGTAAGGCTTCTTATTAGTAATATAAGCTTATATAATGCCTTTCTCTGCAAGCCGCCCAAGTGAAGCGAGGGATTGAAGGCTTGTTGTTTATTACAGTATGCTCTGTAATACGTGTTGCTTCGTGAGAATTACAATGCCCATGTAGGGCTTGCCGCTTTGTATTGTAATGTTACACCATGTAATGCTCCACAGAAAAGTTGTCTGCCCCTCATTCTTTATTCGTTCTATGCACCCATAAACCCGTGTTGGATTTTTTACCCCTCTGTTGTTCTAAGACACAAAAAAGATTGACTCCCCAGGAGACACTTGATGTCGAAGACTTTCTTAACAACAGCAGCAGCATCCACTTTCCTCACGTCACACACTATCTGAACCGATATGCTAGATTTCAATGATTTTGTCACCGATCGCGGTGGAGACCCGAACAAAATTAAGGAGAGTCAGCGTCGTCGATACGCCTCTGAAGAGATAGTTGATGAGGTCCAGAAATTATTCGAAGATGCCCGTAAATGTATGGCTTCAGTTGTTAAACTTAGAGTGTGGTGGCTAATTTTCTATATAGCGCGCTACGAAGCAATGCAGCTTGGCTCTCAATTAAACGCACTGCTGAAAGAAATAGGAAAGAAAAAGAAGGTTGGTCCAACAGTCTTGGAGAACTGAATTCATGACTTTTTTTGCCCCCAGATTTCTGACATAAGTTTAGAATAAGGAGGATGCGACCGATTTGCTAGAGCAGAAAGCTCAGCTTGAGAAACGCAAAAAACAAGCTGATGACCATGCAATTGAGAAGGAAGCTGAACGCGACAAAAAGATCAAGAGCATTGGAAATTATGTCCATGAGTCAGTCCCTGTGAGCAACAATGAGGTATGACCTTTGCTTTTATCTTTATATGGACAAGCAGAATAGGTGAACCGACACTGATCTATCAATTCTAGGATGATAATGAGCTGATCCGGACATGGGCACCGGAAAATGTGGTGGTAGAAAAGCGTGACTGCTTATCACATCATGAAGTGCTCACTCGTTTGGATGGCTACGACTGGGAGCGTGCTGTCAAAATTGTTGGTCACCGCGGATATTGCCTGACTGGTTATGGGCTGTTCCTCAACCTCGCGTTGGTGAACTATGGCTTGGAGTTTCTTTGGCGGAAAGGCTATAAGCCAAACCAGCCACCGCAATTCATGCTCAGAGATGTCATGGCGAAAACTGCACAGCTTGAACAGTTCGATGAGGAACTGTACAAAGTCATTGAAAGCGATGACAAATCCACTGATAAATATCTCATTGCGACTTCTGAACAGCCATTGTCTGCTTTGCATGGAGGGGAGTGGCTTCAGGAAAAAGATCTGCCCATCAAGTAAGTTTCTGATTGTTCTTTTCTCTGGAGATTGAAGCCTCTAAACTGCTATCAGATATGCTGGGTTTAGCACCTGTTATCGCAAAGAGGCGGGAGCACATGGAAAAGATGCATGGGGAATCTTCCGTGTTCATCAGTTTGAAAAGGTACAGCTGAAGGGCTATTTCTCTCCTTGAAGATATCTAACTTGAGGCAGGTTGAACAATTTGTTTTAACCAAGCCAGAAGACTCGTGGCAAGCATTTGACGAAATGATCGCGACTTCAGAGGAATTCTATCAGTCTCTTGGGCTTCCGTACCGAATTGTTTCCATAGTATCCGGTGCTTTGAACAATGCTGCTTCTAAGAAATACGATCTTGAAGCTTGGTTTCCGTTCCAAGGCGAATACAAGGAACTCGTTTCTTGTTCTAACTGCACCGATTATCAATCACGAGAATTGGATATACGGTACGGTGCCAAAAAGACAACAGACACAAGGAAATCCTATGTGCATGCTTTGAATGCCACTCTTTGTGCTACAGAACGGACACTCTGCTGCATCTTGGAAAATTACCAAACGGAAAATGTGAGCGACATTCTTTTTCTTCTATCTCGGGGTTCGTATCAACAGACTAACTAGCTGGATGCAGGGTATTAATGTTCCCGAGCCTCTGCGAAAATATATACCGGGTGCGCCAGAGTTTATTCCCTATACAAGGGATCTACCAAAGGATAGCACCTCCCAGAAGGTAAAGGGAAAACCAAGTGCTAAACCCGCAGCAACTCCGTCAGACGTAGCCAAGAAGATAGAAGATCTCAAAGTCTAGTTCTAGGGGTTGCATTTCTGGGATCTTGCGTCAGTTTGCCAGTTATGTAGCTTAGCACCTGCGAACTTTCAAATAGTAAAATGATCCAAGTGCCTATGCTGTTCTGTGCGGAGGTGTGTCATGGAATGTGTGAATCGAGACATTTTCCTGATGCTATTAATCCAGCCTATCAGGTTCTTAACTATATACGACAAGATTTAAGGCAATACTCGTATAAATAGATCAGATAAGAAGATCAGAGTATGGCAGCAAAGGGACTAGGGGCAGCTAGTTAGGTATGAGTCCAGTCATTTCATCTATACTTTTTTGTCATGCAAGACGCACTAGTAATTATTTCTGCGCCTAGGCAATTTAGAAACATTCAATCAAGCTACACTATTCTGTTTTGTTCCTCTTCCGAAAACGGAGTGACAAGTGGGGTGCGTGCGGATAACGGGTAGATGAGCTTATTAAATATTAATTAGTTATATTACCAAAAAAATTTGTTCCGATTCTTCGGTGTAGAGTAATGGTGTACTTCAATGCAAGACTACCTACCGAAATTTCCCAGTGACTCACTGCATCTACATCATCTTCCCTTGATAGCAATCGAGATTCTTTTGTGTCTGCCTCTAACGTGAATTGAGTGCTGAATTTGCACCATGGCGGCTTTTTCAAAAGACATTAATCAAGGTGAACTATCTCACCATCTTGCACGCAGTTTAGGTTTCTCAACATCACCAACTGCCACCTTCCATTCTCCTTCGTCATCGAATTATGGCGTGTCAGCTGCCAGTCGAACTGCGGCTTCAGCTGCAGCGAAACATCTTAAACCTTTTGCTACTGAAGATATTAAGATTTTGCTGCTAGAAAATATTAATCAGACTGGTCGTGACATCCTTGCTGAACAAGGATATCAAGTTGAATCTCTCAAGACTTCCTTGCCGGAGGACGAGCTTATTGAAAAGATTCGGTAACAGTTCATGCCTTCCCCCCCCCCCCCCCCTCCCCCCCTTTTTTTTTTTTGAAAAATTCTTAAATATAGAAAAAAAAATTACATTTGCTTATACTGCTATTTAAATTTTAGGGATGTACATGTCATCGGAATTCGATCGAAGACCAAGCTCACCGCACGAGTCCTGAAAGAAGCACGAAATCTCATTGTAATCGGCTGTTTTTGCATTGGAACAAACCAAGTCGACCTGCAGTACGCGGCAGATCATGGTATTGCGGTCTTTAATTCGCCTTTTAGCAATTCTCGAAGCGTCGCTGAATTGGTTATTGGGGAGATTATTGCTTTGGCTCGGCAGTTAGGTGACCGCTCAAATGAAATGCACAATGGCACTTGGAACAAAGTGAGCAGCAAATGCTGGGAAATTCGTGGCAAGACACTCGGTAATATGCTTTCTCCAGGACCTTCTCTTGACACCTTTCTAATGAGTTATCCCAGGCATCATCGGCTACGGCCATATTGGGTCCCAGCTTTCAGTTTTAGCAGAAGCAATGGGCATGTCTGTCATTTATTATGACGTTGTTAACCTGATGGCAATGGGAACAGCACGACAAGTACCAACTTTGGAAGCACTCCTTCGTGGTTCTGACTTCGTCAGCCTCCATGTTCCCGAACTCCCAGAAACACGTAATATGATTGGCCAACAACAATTTGAGCAGATGAAGCATGGAAGCTATTTGATCAATGCAAGTCGAGGCAGTGTCGTTGATATTCCAGCATTAATCCAGGCAATGCGGACAGGCAAGATTGCAGGCGCTGCTCTTGATGTCTATCCAAATGAGCCTGCAGGCAACGGTGATTACTTCACAGATGACCTTAATCCTTGGTGCACAGAGCTCCGTAGTCTCAAAAATGTGATATTAACACCTCATATTGGGGGTAGCACTGAGGAGGCTCAGAGAGCTATTGGCATTGAGGTAGGCCAAGCACTGGTGCGATATGTGAATGAAGGGACCACTTTGGGAGCTGTAAACCTCCCTGAAGTCAATCTTCGTTCTTTAACTATGGATCAACCAAACCATGCCCGGGTATGTGATGCTTTTTTTTATCAGAATTCTGTTCTTGCAGTGAACTAGCATTAACAATATCCTGCAGGTGATCTTTATCCACCAGAATATTCCTGGAGTGCTACGTAAAGGTAAAAATCTTTCCATTATTTATGAAGCTCTTTTTCTAACTTGACTAGTGAATGAAATACTAGCCGATCACAATGTTGATAAGCAAATGACAGACAGCCGGGGTGATGTAAGTTCTGGCACTCAGAAGTTAAGTAATAAAAGGAGATTAACAAGACTAGGTTGCATACCTTATGGCTGATATCAGTGATGTTGACACTGCAACTATCAAGGACCTTTATGAAAGACTAGAGAGCCTTTCATGTAAGAGTTCACAGTCAAATAACAATATGTCTGTCTTGTTTGCTAATTTTCATCTTTTAGCCCGGATAATGACTCGCATCTTGTACTGATTGTCTTATAAAATCCGGTCCAATGTAAAAGTTGCATTTCTCGGATATTCGGTGAATTCAACATTATGCAGCTTCACATGTCATAGATAGGGTATGGTAATTGCAAGTGGAAAGGTGTTCTGGGGAGCCAAAAAAAGAGCACACAACTACAGCTAAGTGATCTCTCTTTAGTGTCTCAACACATGAAGAGCATGAAACTCGACCATTTTCTTTCTTTTTGAAGTTATTCGGATACATAAATCCTTCGTTGTAGAGCAATAAATCCATATTTTTTACCTGTTGCTTTTTTTTCTCAATGCAACGCTAGGCCGCAACCAGACAGGCGTGATTAGATCATACTTTCCTTTTACTTGCATCCATAAGTGTTAAAATGTTGACATGAGAATCTAACCTCGGAAGTTCACTTTGACATCATTGTCATCGCACTAAACATGGGACAATCAGAGATAAGGCGAAGAAAAAAAGTGAGAGGGGCTCAAGAAGCAAACAGCCATGATAAGAACACACATTAAGAAGAGAATGAGACGTAAACTTTCTTCGATAGGTCAACGACGATAAAGCTGGTAATTTAGATCTTCGTCTCGTCCTCTCTCTCTCGGAGGTGGACTACGGCTACGTCTGCGAGAAATTGGATCACGGGCATGATCTCTCCTGCTTGTATACCGTGAAGAGTCTTGCCTACCATCATGCCAGTCATTCTCGGATTTTGCAGCGTCATCATCCCGAATCCGAGATCGATTGTCTTGCCCATCGTATCTGGAAACATACGTATCCATTTTTCCTTCGGCGCGGGGGCCGGTCCAAGATTGATGCCTGTCTCTTCGTTGGTCATAACGATTGTCGCTTCTCCAAGTGTGATTTGCAGCCCACGGCTGTTGAGAAGAAACCGGGGGCCTAGGTGGCAACCCATCTCTATGCCAGGCTGGAGCATGTTGAGTCAAATCATCTGAATCCTGTCTCACCTGTTGAGTCTCAGGAACGCGCATGTCAGCAGGTCGCCGAGATCCCCCAGGAATACCACTGGCACTTGAACGTAGTCCACGTGCAGCGCCCGGGATGCGGGCACCTCTCTGTTCAGGGCCCGCCCGGGAACCGGAATTAATCGTCCAGTCTCCGTTTGGATCTAGTCCTGCAGGTCCTCCCGGGGGAGCTGGAGGCGGAACCGCTCTTTGTCCACGGAATTGTCGTCTATCGAACTCATGTGAATCTTCAAAGTGAGGAAGTTCCCCTGGCCGGGCTGGAAGCGGAGGACTTGAGAAGTAAGGGTGTTTTAAGGCATCGATGGCATTAATTCTCTTTCGCCAGTCGAGTTTGAGAAGTTCGCCAAGCAGGGATATCGCGAGAGGTCCTTGGCTATGGAAAGTGAGACAAGGCCGTGAAAGAAGAAGAAACAGGAGAAAGGGGTAGGATAATAAGGGAATTTAACCATACTCTTTGAAGACCTGGGATAAATTTCCAGGTTTAGACCCGAAATTTCTTACACCATCACACCCTGGAAGCGAACTCCATCCAGGCATATTTTCTTCCGTAGGAGCTCCAACGAGGTTGAATATTAACTGCACCTGGTTGAGGTCACTGTTACCGGCTAGGATAGGTTTGCCTTTGAACATCTCGCCGAAGACGCAGCTGAAATGCGTTAAATTCTGCAATAAACCCGGAATATGGGGAAAAAGCTCACCCTACACCCCACATGTCTATAGCTGTTGTGTAACGCCGTAGTTGCAGCAGGAGTTCCGGGGGTCTGTACCATCGGGTTACCACCAAAGGTGTATAATCCCTTCTAGCTTCACCGCCGCCTTTGCCAGGTTGTGGAGGTGGTTCGTCGTATAACCGGGCGAGTCCAAAATCAGCGATTTGAAGAATACCCTTGTTGTTGATAAGAAGATTCGCAGCTTTTATCACTCTGATTAGTCCCTAAATTCGATTGTCCAATAATGAGCCAAACCTTTCATATCGCGATGCAGTATCCTGTTCTATTGCAAAATCAGTCTCCGATTTTAAAACTTGGGATGATGAAGGACTACCTCGTGCAAATATCGGACCCCTTCCAGAAGTTGCAACATATAGCATTTGATTTGTGGCTCGGTGAAACGAACATTGGGATTTTCCAGAAGACCAGAGAGGTCATGTTCCATATAAGGTGTCACCATGTACATGCTCGGCTTTTTCCTGCCCTCCCCTAATAATCAAAAAATCAGCGGGAAAGCCTAACAACCAGAGTCATCAATACACACCCTTACTTCTCTCGACAGCCATTTCTTGTAGCCGCAAGATGTTTGGATGAGACAACATCTTGAGAAGTTTAATCTCGCGTAAGGCAGTGATTGGGAACTAAAGGAATGTCAGCAGGCTCAGTGAACTACATAGAATGCGCAGCAAGCTCACCCCATCTTTTTCATTATGCATCAAAATCTTCTTAAGGGCAACAATAGACCCATCTCTTTTAGATCGGGCCTTGTAAACTTCCCTGTGGGAGTACAATCAGCTTATTGTAGCAAGACGCTTTAGGCATAAGAGAGAATACTCACCCGAATGTACCTTCACCTAATTTACCTAAAAATTCAAACTCCCGGATGTTCGAACAGCCTCGAAAGCGAGAATGACCATGATTGTCCCGTTCAAGAGGCATCTTGGGAGATGATAACGGCACCGGCAGAACCATTTTTGCCCATGATTTTGCATAATAAGATATTTTTCTCAGAGTGATTTCGATGACGAAGACGACAAGTCCAGCTCTGTCGCCACAAAAAACCCACCAGCAATGAACCCTGTAGTTTCATTAAGACAGGGAGGTAGTTAAAGAGACTCTTTGAAGTTTTGTTCAGCTGATAAGAAAGTGAAAAAGCTTTGACTGTAACACGAGTCGGACGAATACAGGGGAATAGAATAACTATCACCCTAAAAAAACGTGAACCCTAAGGAAGCTGTCTTCAGAGTTGTAAGTGAATGTTTCTGCATTGACCGAGCAGCCTTCAATAACTATTCACAATTGACAAGCTCTTCATGACTAAGTGATAGTCAATAGCAAGCCTTGCAAAAGAAGTCGCCGGATCGAGTATATTTCTGATTGACTCAACTAACCTCATTTTATAGAAGTTGTCCTTCATTACCTTGTAGTCCGGGGTTCACGGAGCTTATCCTCTTGGCAGATGTTCAGCATGCCAAGCCTTTTTATCACGTGGAGAACGGCCGCCTTTCCCAAGTCAACTTGGCCTTTGACACCTAACGTTTCAAGTCTTCCACTGGTCTGTTGTCTTCGAAATAGTCGTGTACAGTTCCAAGCTGAAAGGTACTTTTCTAATCCTTAATCTCGGCCTTCTCATTCTGGATTGCTAATGATTATAGCCATGGCTGGCAAGCATCCTATTCACGTCCACCCTGTACGACCATTCTACCGTTTTGCTGCAACCGCGCTGGGAGCCAGCATGTGGTTTTTTGTAAGTAACGTGTTCTTTGAATTATGATTTATATCTCTACTGCTGGTAACTGATGATTTGCCTCCGATTCTGTAGTTGATGTATCGAGCCAAGAAAGACGGTCCTGCTCTGCTTGGGCTGAAACATCCTTGGAACCATTGAGCTCTTCTAGCCTCTACATTTCAACGGAATTAAATCTTTCTTGCTCTTAAAACTGAGACTACTAGATGATAGATACTTTTTTTTCCCCCCAGAAGCTTTGCTATTCTCGTGGTTTTGAGCTTCTCAGAAGTCATTACAAATGCATCCATGCAACTTCAGACAAGTCGCTACTGTGAAAAGGGATTATTAATTTCCTACCCTCTGACTTGACATTGACGACCTCCGACGACCTTATTTACCAGGTAGTCTTTCGGTGCCTACATGCTGCATCTGGATTGTCGAATAGTATTACAGATTCCTTTCACAAGAACAGTCCGATTACACACGCCGGGTACGACCCAGAACTCATTGTCTGCCTAGAGGTCAAATGAAGGATGACTCGAAAACTTTAGATACTTTTTTATTTCCCCCCCCCAAAACAAATCTCTGCCTTCCGAAATTTATTGATTATCTCTCGGCGATACCCGTCAGGACTAGTTTATTTCAGGTTTGCATCTCTTCGAGGAGGACTTTGTACCGGCGGCGGCGTTTGCCGCGATTCGGCCGCAGACGTACGTATGCGCGTCCTAAAACCCGAGCAAAAGTAGGGAAGATTCGGTGCTCAGCGATCCAAGAGACTACAAAGCCCAAAATTGCTAGTGTAAAGAGGAACGCCTTGAAACCGCCAGACATTTTTGTCAATTGCATGATGTGCATCAACCATTTCGACGGTTTGAACAACATGTAAGTCGATAGCAGCAAATCGGAGGCGAGAGTAACAAGGAACGGAACTACTCACTAATTAGTAATGTTTTTGTCCAAGATGAAGCAGACACTCACTATTTGAGAAGATCGGCCGTCGAAAAGGCGGTCCCACACTGAGTACTACACTTGAAAAAATGTATTGATAGCATGAAACGAGGAACAGGGATGTGTTCTCGGAATTTTCAATGTTGGCATCTTTTAAGTCCACTCTCGGAGGTTGGAACCTATTATTTAAGTCAGTCAATTGTTTCGGCAACTTTTAGCATTGCGTAAACTCACCATGGGCGTGTTTGCACTATCTTGAATACTACCAACTGCATCAAGACATGGATTGCAATCTGTCCCAGAAGAGGGGTCAAAACCTTCCGTGAAACAAGGTCCGCTGTTGGGCGTTTCCGTGAAAGAAGCGGATAAGGACCGTTCCAACCCACTGGAGACATTAGCATCTACTACAAAGTTAACAAGGATATGGTACTTACTAAAAATTGCAATTGGTAAGATAAGGGCCAAGTCGATGAAAAGATACTACCACTCCTTAGCCTCTAATCCATAACAACAGATATTGTGACTTACTTGAAAGTCCCCCAGATTTGAAGCCGAGGTATATAAGAAGCTAACAGTTGTGAATTGAATTGCGGAGTAAAGACTCATGTATTTGAAACAGCAGAAGCTGGTGACAAGCGCGGCTCGGCCCTCCCTAGTGAACCGTTAGGACCCAAGTGGCTTCCCATACAATGGAACTGACTTACTTGATAAGCTTAGGAACGCAAGATATGTCAAAAATCCGGCTAGTAAATGGTGCAGCAACTGATGCTTCTGCATCTGAAAGTGAAATTCCGACGTCTGCAGCCTTAAGAGCGCCACAGTCATTGGCACCATCACCGCAGAAGCCACAACAGTAATCTAACGATTGAAGTTTCTCGACAAGTTCGTGTTTTTCATCAGGAGACATTCTTGCAAATACTTGACCTTTAACAAGAGTCTGTCTTCTATTAGAAGTGAATCCTTGCATATAAGGGGAAGTGGCATACCCTTCTTAGCACTTCTTCATTTCCGTAATCGATGAGCCACCTGAAAACGTCACCGCTGACAGCTATCGAGTATGTGTGCATATTTAAATTATTCAGGGGTACGGAAATATCAGGGCTTTCTGCAGTAGTAACAGGCTATGTATTGTCAGAGGGAGCCTTTTATTTGACTCGATAACTGGAAGGCCTTACCATGAGTGTAGTCTCGTCAAGTCGCGCATTTGGATCATTAACACTCTCCCAAACCAGTGTGGCTGTCGCGTCAAGGCCTTGACCTGTTGGTTATATTAGCTCGGTTCCTTCAATAAAAGAATATTACTTACTGCCAACGAAGCGCGGCACAAAACAATGGGCGTATGGATCTATAAGACCGCATTCGCGAGCAACACTGATAGCTGTTAGGATATTGTCACCGGTACACATGACATTGCGTATCCCTGCTCTTTTCAACTCATCGATCACGTGGGTCGTAGTCTGTTTCAATTTGTTCTCGAAGATAATGAAACCGAGAAATTCCAAATTCGATTCTGCTTCTTCTCTCGACATCTTCTGGACTTTCATCCAACTCAGCTTGCTCTCATATTTCGCAGCACAGGCAATCACTCGGTAGCCTCTGTGCGTATAATGGCTCAATAATTCATCGAAATCATATGGTACTGTCCAAGAGATTAATAAGTGAATAACTTGAAAAGGATCTGCTATACTGACAGCTGTTTGGGAGGCATATATCCTTCATACACTCGGGCGCCCCCTTCACGAAAACACTGGCACCATTATCTCCAAATTGTCTGACAATAACGCTGGTGCGACGGAGATGAGAAACGAATTCGAAAGACCGTAAGATTCCAAGTTCCATTCGAATCTATCCCGAAACTTTAGCATCCAATGGACCTGAAAGGAACCTGCAAAAGGAGGCAAAGAAACTATATCAGGGGTAGTAAGGGTCAATGGGAACCCTACTTCATCATTTTGAAGCTCGTTATGGCCATACCCCATAGCAGGTGGCCTTGCCACAGATGGGATGATTGTGTCACCCTTGCCGCTTGACTGATCAGAATTTGCGCTTCCGCCTTCTTCGTACGTCCAGCCGGTGAATTCAAACATCTTGATGTCCAAAGGATCCCCTAAGAGTTCCCCGTCGACAAGTCTAAGAGAATGGCACGTCGCCATTGTGTAGATGATTCTTTTACACTTATTGTAGTCAACGTAACTGTCTCTCCTCAATTGGGGCGTGGAAAACATATGCGAAGCCTCCGAGAACATTTCGGTAAATCTGTAGAATAGTCAGCGAGTATTTCCATTTTCCGATGGAAAAATAGAGGTTGACCTCATTCTAGAATTGACAGCCCGCACGCCAAGCACATCCAAGCCATCTTCCGTTAGAGTGCCTGTCTTGTCGAAACAAACGACGTCTAATTTACCCCCAACATTAACCCTAAACCAGGTTATCTATCTTAAATCAAGCGTCATGTTGAGAATTCGCTTTTACCTTTGCGGACTTATGCAAAATATTTGCTGCTTCTTCAATCTCGAAAGAGCAAAGTTCGTTCCTATAGTTAAGGTCGCAGGTAAAGCAGGTGGAACTACAATAGTGACGAGATCAAGGGCCCTCACAATGACCACACGCCAGGAAAGCTAGTCATGTTGTCAGATCATGCAAATAAAATTGACTTTTTCTTGACTTACCCCTAATCGAATGAAGTTTACAAATGAGGCTATGAAACCCAATGCCGCGATCACACCCATGACTGAGATATAGCGGAAAGAGTCTCTATAGAATTTAAAGCCAGATGGTTTCGGAAATAGCATAGAGCGAACCAAGGAGCCTTTCGTGGTCGAAAATCCTGTTCGTACAACAACTGCTAGAGCGACTGCTTCGTCATCGGCATCCTGTGGGCGCCGGGCCCGAATGATCTTGGTACCACAGAAAAGGAAGTGTTTTGCCACATTGGGATGAATAGACGGCGCTTTCAGGTCAAGATAATCAAGAGCATCATCTGTAACTGGCACCTTCGAAACTGGAACAGATTCACCTGGAATTGTAATTAGTGGTTAGATATGGTAAATTCGCACTCGGGATTTCATACCTGTAAGCATGCTCTCATTGATTATGCAATCCCCAGACAAGAGTAAGCAGTCACAAGGTACCTGGCTCAGTGACGGATCCGAAACTTCGAATACGTCTCCAGGAACCATTTCTCTTGATGGAACAGTTCTCCCTTAGTGAAAGGATTAGTACAAAGTCCGGGTTTGAAAACTTATCACCGAAGTCACATGAGTTATAAGACTCACAGAATCCATTCCGGAGTACTCGGACATTACACTCAAAGTGAGAAATTTCTCTTAATCGTGACATAGTCTTCATTAAATGAGCATAGACATTCTAAAGTGAAGTATCGGAGAAAACATACCGACCGCGTCTCCATAACAGTGGCGCCAATGCTGAATACGGAAATAACGAAAATGCAGACTGCATAGTAATAGTACTCATCCAAAGACCACAGGACCAAACTTGCAATTTGAAAGATATAGAAGGGATGAAGAACCTAGGAAAGTTAAGACTCAGATGTGCATTTTTCTCAGAAGGAAATAATTGAAGGAAACGAACCTCATCAACAAGAAGCTGAAACATAGATTTCTGATGGACATCGATAAGATTTCGTCCAAACACGCGCTCTCTGCTATCTCTTTCATCGACATCAAGTCCACTTCGCATGAGTTTGACATTCGTCCACGAGGGGTCTTTCCAGCCGTTGACAAGTTGAAATTTATCTTCAAGCGGATTGTAGATAAATCTGAGATATCTATAGTCTACAAAACGTAGCAACGCGAGGGGGGGATCGTTATCTTCGTCGTTATCCGAATGGACATTGTCGAGCGAAGAAGTTCCAAAAACTGTAGAAAGTGGGCGCCCATAAGTCTGAGTAGATACTCGATGAATCATGAATTGGCTCCATTGATCCTGACTTCAGTTAGACACAAATCTGTCCCACCGTCAAGAGGACTTGTAACTCACTTCGATCGCAACCCACTCGCACTTCCTCAAAGGCGCAGGAGTTCCAATTAATCTCACTCGCCATTTTGGTAGCCACCGTAATAGAAGATAAGCGGATCCAAGCGACAAAACACATAAAATAACGTAAATAGCGAGTCCACTGACGCTAGTAGAGAATCCAGCAATTACAGCCGTCAGGTCTTCTGTGACGATGTAGATTTTTTGATTAACGCGACCTCCTGCTTTCTTCCGAATCATGTACGAGTTCGTGGATTCATGTCGGGAGAGTAGAGGGTCCTCCATGGAGCTTCGAGAATATGATGTTCTTTTGGACTTGCCCGGGGGCACGGCTGCCTCCAGGTCGCTGTTCAGGTCGTCCACAATGATTCCTCCCAACTCGTTGTCAACGTCTACAGCCTCCTCCTCGCGCCACTCTAGGGAGTCATCATCTTCCTGGAAGTACGTAAAACTCACTGTGGAATCATTCCGAGATCGGCGGTGGGCGAAGGATATAACACTCGAGGGGACACTTTCGGACATCGGTCCTGAAAATACCTGTGATATTTTAGAAACGTACCCATTACTGCTACCGAGAATGATCTGGCAAACATACCTCATCGTGAGCCATTTCTACGTCTGATGCAATGCTCATCCTAAAGAAGAGCTATCAGTATAACCTCCGGACCTATCTCTCTACTTCAAGGACATTCAACAACCTGCTTCTCATCGAATCCCGCCGACCTCCCCCTGGAGAGGCCCGAACACCAGTAGAATGTGGATCTACTGTTGACTGTCCTGGACTCGACATTGTGTCTGATGTGATTAAATTAACTGGACCTCTTGATAAATATCTGCTTCATTAATTGGCCAGATCATGATGTGACACTGCAAGCAACAATTGTTCATGCCAAGTTAGCAACTGGGGCGAGCACCGGGGTTTCAGAAAACCACTGTCAAAATATACATCACAGGAAGGTTCAAAGCGAGTATGGAGGAGGGAATGGGTACACCAGATCAGGGCAATAAATCAAGGGAGCCAAAGTAATTATTTGTTGAGAGCATTATCGTATGTATGGAGTAAGTACTACTACTAGGACTATCTTGGTGGGGACAGAAAGAAGATGTACTGAAATCGTATCTCCACGTGATCACAAATCTTGACGTTCAGACAATCATGGACCTTAGTATATTTGTTTTGCCATATTATTAATTACTCCAAACATATATAATTTCCCCTAGGTGCAGTCTTCTGTTATTTTTTTTTTAAAAAGAATCACCTGACACATACTATGGATTATTACCAAGATAATTGTTACATGGTGACGCAAGCCAGCATGACATAGCATAAGTAGATAGATGTAAAATGAATGACAAGACTGGACCAAAAAATTTTCATCATCCACTTAATCAGACATGATTAAATAATGTAAATACATTGATGCATTAAATATGGAATACCCCAAGTCGAAATGAATGTCATGATGTGCTTGCTGGTGCCTTCGTTTGGGAGGCACTATCTAAGGGAATAATGCTGAAAAACAGATAACTGCCCATATCTCTACTCAATGCAGCTAAATGGTCCTTCGTTATAGCTGGGCACAGTCCAGGACTCCAGTTAAGGGCCATCTAAGCGATCTGAGTTGAATTGGATACGGCGGTAGCTGCCCGTGGTTGTTGGGTTCGTCCAATCCTTGGGCTTTGAAGTTCTCAACAGTCAACGCGCTGGTCCCGCCAAGCCTCTGGCAAAAAGGCGCTAAGGTTCCCACCAAGCCAATGTTCAGGACCTCAAAACTCTGGAGCGTATCAAAATCTTCTTCATTCCTCAACACACTTCCTCACCTTTTCCACTATCATACGTCTCCCACTTCCTCAGTTCTATCTTTTCGCCATGTCTGAACCCATCAGGAACAAGAAGGCCGATTTCCCGGTTGCTCCGTAAGTGCTATCCTTGGTCTTGCTGCTCCTCCGCCCACTCCAGCTCGTCAAAGTTGTATCATTACGAGTTATGGAGGAATAATAGGCTTGATCGCTCATCAAATTGTACAGGACGCCTCAGAACACGCCGGCTAACAACGCACCGATTTCGTCTCACGCTCAACAGCCTGGGGTTGCAAGCATCAAAGAGGGTAAGTTTCTTCGATAGCCCTTTCGTGACAATTTTTTTTCGCCACTTTTCTGACAACGGTTTTACAGAGAACTTGGATCATGCCGCTGCCGCCTCACTTTTTGCTAAAAATCCTGGGCTTGTCTCCATGATCCAGGGTAAACTTGGTTCCCTTGTAGGGCGCTCTTCGGGGTATATCGAGTCTCTTCCTGCGCCAGTGCGTCGCCGTGTCGCCGGCCTCAAGGGTATTCAAAAGGAACACGCGAAGCTCGAGGCAGAATTTCAGGAGGAGGTTCTGCAGCTTGAGAAAAAGTATTTCCAAAAATTTACGCCACTGTACCAGAGACGTGCCAATATTGTCAATGGACTTGAAGAACCGACAGACGCGGAGGTCGAAGCGGGAAAGGGTGAGGACGAAAATGAGGACGCCAAGAATGACAGTGAGCAGAAGAAAGAAGACACTGCTGAAGAGTCACCTATGTCCGGAATCCCAGAGTTCTGGTTGTCCGCCATGAAGAACCAGGTCTCACTTGCGGAAATGATCACCGAGCGAGACGAGGAGGCTCTTAAACATCTCACCGATATCCGTATGGAATATCTTGACCGGCCTGGTTTCCGATTGATCTTTGAATTCTCCGAAAACGAGTTCTTTACAAACAAGACGATCACCAAAACCTATTACTACCAGGAAGAGAGCGGGTACGGAGGTGATTTCATCTATGATCACGCTGAAGGTGACAAGATCGACTGGAAGGCCGATAAGGACCTCACTGTCCGGGTGGAGAGCAAAAAGCAGCGAAATAAGAGTAAGTGTCACAATACATAATCTCTCCAGCGTCGTGTTCTAATACCTCCACGTTTCCCAGGCACAAAACAGACGCGTGTCGTTAAGATCACTGTACCCACCGAGTCATTCTTCAACTTCTTTTCTCCGCCGAAACCTCCCACCGACGATGACGACACCGTTGCCAGCGATATTGAAGAGAGATTGGAGCTTGATTACCAGCTTGGCGAGGACATCAAGGAGAAACTTATCCCTCGGGCGATTGATTGGTTTACTGGGGAGGCCCTTCAGTTTGAGGAACTTGGAGATGAAGTCGATCAGGATGAGTTCGAGGGCGATGAGGATGATGAGGAGGACGATGACGATGATGATGATGATGACAGGAGATCAGACAATGTTGATGAGGATTCTGACGAAGACGTACGTTTTCCCTGGTGAAATTTCCTGACTCATTCTACGGATGCTAATATCTATCAGGACGGAACATCGAAGCCCAAAAAGGAAGCCGCGGAGTGCAAACAGAGCTAAGACCGCATTCTGTCTGAACCTAGGAGCCTATCAGGACGCCATTTTCTCGGATTCCTAAGTTCCTAGAAGTCGCTATACGTGGGAATCGGATCAATTTGCTTCTTCTGTTATGGAGTTTAGAGCATAATATGTGTGTAATATGCGTCGTCCCATTCCTCCCTCGATGATCACACATTGGAATGACATGATCTACGGAGTACTTAAGCTTTTACCTGGCTCCCGGGCCTATCCATACGAGTCTGGAGGGGAATGGGATTGCGGTTTTCTTTATGATACAGCTTGTGATGAGTGTGGGCGGAGTTTGGGTGAACCTTTAACACCATCACCTATGTTTTAAAACATCATGGCTATTTGATCCTTCCCCTAAGACACATGCTACGTAAAGCAGGTTTTCTCGAAACCAGATCTTAGAGCGTGATCTGTTTAGCAAATTGTAATTCGTGCACCTTCCAAAAGAGATGAGCCTTAGATCGCTATGCCCCATAGAATGTGTTGTCGTACACCTGGGTGGTGAATATTGTAGAAAGCACTAAAATCGTCTGCAAAGCTGAAACTCAACTCGCGGTACATGCATCGCTAGAGAAGGTCATTGGGCTTTTTTTTTCCAAAAGGTACCATCTGGAACTGCACTATTATCGTGATTTTCCTTACTAATATAATTCATTCGAAGTGTATCTCACTCGAATAGTCGGGCTCATACTGGTCTGTTCGCATAGACCGTACGGATATACTATGCTATCTTCTCCAAAAATTATATTTCCCATCGACTACAAGGATTGGGAATAATTGGTGAGGGATTCTGGAGCATACTGAACGCACGCCGTGAATTGGTGGTGAGACCGTCTTTTTTTTTTATCGCCAGCATCTCTCTTGGCCTTGGAGCTGGGGCCCTGGGGGTCCTAGGCAGCTAGGCTGTTCCCCAAGCTCCTCAGGGGTTACCGCTCGCTAGCTAGTGGCCAGCTTTAGCCCAGCCTGCCGCATTTCGCCCGACTCCCAGAAATTATTAGAACCAAACTCCTTCCAAACCCATACGACAGCAAACGGAACCTGATTATCTGTACTTCTCGTCTTTAACTGAACCCTGTCACCCGCTTCAGAGATAAAGATATCCTTGCTGTGGTTGGAACCGCCTCTAAATGCCGGTTAAGGCATTAGGCGTGACCCTTGTCTACTCCGATTTTGTCGACACCGCCTACATTTTGTCCTTCGTTGATAGACTTACCTGAATCACTGAGTGAGCCTCGATGGCCAACAGTTACGAGGTTGGGACTGGGGCGTGGCACCCCGACCCAACGGAGGGCTGGATCTCCTCCGAGGTCAAGGAGAAGCTGGTTGATGGTGACAAAGTGACGCTTGTCTTCCTTCTAGAAAATGGGGAGGTGTGTTTGTTCTTCATCTGGGTACCACTTAAAATGATCCATGTCGAGCTGACCAAGTTTATCTTTCTGATAGACCAGAACAGTTGAAACCACTCAAGCAGAGTTACAGGTGCCCAATAACCCGTCGTTGCCCCCTTTGAGGAATCCTGCGATGCTAGAGGCAAGCGAAGATCTCACGAATCTGTCACATTTGAACGAGCCTGCCGGTATGCTTCACTCCAAGGAATATTATGAACACTGATCTAACAGTTGCGTAGTCCTACAGGCCATAAAACTTAGGTACTCTCAGAAAGAGATATATACGTACAGCGGCATTGTCCTCATTGCGACAAACCCTTTTGCTCGGGTGGACTCTCTATACGTTCCACAGATGGTCCAAGTCTACGCAGGGAAACAGCGTGCCTCCCAGGCACCGCATCTTTTCGCCATTGCGGAAGAAGCTTTTGCGTAAGAATAACCCACCTCCATGCGCAATGATGCCTGATCATAACCTTTGGTTTTTTTGCATTTAGGGACATGCTCCGAGATGGCAAGAATCAAACAATAGTGGTCTCCGGTGAATCCGGTGCTGGTAAGACCGTCAGTGCGAAATACATCATGCGTTATTTCGCCACACGAGAATCCCCAGAGCAGCCTGGTAAATATACGTCGGGTAGAGCGGACGCGATCAGTGAAACGGAAGAACAAATACTAGCTACCAACCCAGTCATGGAAGCTTTTGGAAATGCTAAGACGACACGTAATGACAACTCTTCCCGTTTTGGAAAATACATCGAGATCATGTTCGACTCAAAGACGAATATCATTGGAGCGAAGATCAGGACTTACCTGCTGGAGCGTTCGAGATTGGTCTTTCAGCCTCTCAAGGAGCGAAATTATCATATTTTCTACCAACTTGTTGCTGGTGCCACCGAAGCTGAGCGCGAACAGCTGGGTCTTTTGTCAGTGGAGGAATTTGATTATCTGAACCAAGGAGCAACCCCGACGATTGACGGAGTAGACGACAAGGCCGAGTTCGAGGCTACGCGAAAATCTCTATCTACCATTGGGGTCTCTGAGGACACCCAGGCTGCTATATTTCGTGTTCTAGCCGCTCTCCTCCATCTGGGCAACGTGAAAATCACTGCCACTCGCACTGACTCCTCACTGTCGCCAACGGAACCTTCTCTTGTGCGTGCTTGTGACATGCTCGGAATCGACGTCAATGAATTCGCCAAGTGGATAGTCAAGAAGCAGCTGATCACGCGAGGAGAGAAGATCACCTCAAACTTGACTCAGCAACAAGCCATTGTTGTGCGAGACTCGGTTTCGAAATTCATCTACTCCAGTCTGTTTGACTGGCTTGTGGACAGAATCAACCGTGCTTTAGCCACTGAAGAAGTATTGAGTAAAGTGAAATCATTCATTGGCGTTCTGGATATTTACGGTTTCGAGCATTTTGCAAAGAATTCGTTCGAGCAGTTCTGTATTAACTACGCCAACGAGAAACTACAGCAGGAATTCAACCAGCACGTGTTCAAACTCGAGCAGGAAGAGTACGTACGTGAACAGATTGATTGGACATTCATTGAGTTCTCAGACAATCAACCCTGCATCGACCTGATTGAAGGCAAGCTCGGAATATTGTCTTTGCTTGACGAGGAATCTCGCTTGCCTATGGGCTCCGATGACCAGTTCGTGACAAAGCTTCATCATAATTTTGCAGGCGACAAACAAAAATGTTACAAGAAGCCACGATTCGGGAAATCCGCTTTCACCATTTGTCATTATGCTGTGGAGGTTACATACGAGTCCGAAGGATTTATCGAAAAGAATCGAGACACCGTTCCTGACGAACACATGGAAATCCTCAAAAATTCTACCAATCCTTTTGTGAAGGAAGTGCTCGATGCGGCTTCGGCGATTCGAGAAAAAGATTCTGCTTCTGTTTCATCGAAGCCGGTGGCGGCACCAGGTCGGAGAATTGGCGTGGCAGTGAACCGAAAACCCACCCTGGGAGGAATATTCAAATCATCCCTCATTGAACTTATGAACACGATCAACTCGACAGATGTCCATTATATTCGTTGTATCAAGCCCAATGAAGCAAAGGAGCCATGGAAATTCGAAGGCCCGATGGTTCTAAGTCAACTCAGAGCGTGTGGTGTGCTTGAAACCGTTAGGATCAGCACTGCAGGCTATCCGACTCGCTGGACTTATGAGGAATTTGCTCTTCGATATTATATGCTCTGTCACTCGTCGCAATGGACGTCGGAAATCAAAGAAATGTGTCACGCAATTCTGCGGAAAGCATTGGGGGACGTCAATCACCAGAAGCAAGACAAGTATCAGCTCGGTCTTACCAAGATTTTCTTCCGTGCTGGTATGCTCGCTTTCCTCGAGAATCTTCGAACCTCTAGATTGAATGAATGTGCGATCATGATTCAAAAGAATCTGAAGCGCAAATATTACCGGCGGAGATATCTTGAGGCCCGTGAATCCATCTTGAAGACCCAAGCATTGATCAGAGGCTTCCTGGCGAGGCAGCGTGCAGAAGATGCGCGCCGGATCAAAGCGGCTACCACTATTCAAAGAGTATGGAGAGGTCAAAAAGAGCGAAAGAAATACAACGAAATCCGAAACAACATCATTCTTTTTGAGTCGCTTGCTAAAGGGTATCTGTGCCGACGCAACATCATGGACACCATCCTTGGCAATGCGGCAAGAACAATACAGCGTGCATTCCGCTCCTGGAGACAGTTAAGAGCGTGGCGACAATATCGCCGGAAAGTCATTATCATCCAGAATCTCTGGAGGGGCAAGAAAGCTCGAAGACAATACAAAAAATTGCGTGAAGAGGCAAGGGATCTCAAACAGATTTCTTACAAGTTGGAAAATAAAGTCGTGGAGTTGACTCAGTCTCTCGGATCACTGAAACGTGAGAACAAGTCTCTCCTGGCCCAACTTGAAAATTACGAAAGTCAGTTGAAATCATGGAGAAGTCGACACAACGCCTTGGAAACCCGCTCAAGAGAACTTCAGGCCGAAGCCAATCAAGCTGGTATTACAGCGGCGCGGCTGACGGCCATGGAAGAAGACATGAACAGACTTCAGCAGAATCACAACGAAGCTCTCGCGACCATCAAGCGCCTTCAGGAAGAGGAGAAGATATCGCAGGAGTCCATTCGCTCTGCTGACCGCGAGCTTGAGAGGCTGAGAAAGTTGAATTCTGGCCATGAGAGTGAGAAGGCATCCCTCCGTCAGCAAATCATGGAACTACAAGAACAGCTGGAGATTGCCAGAAGATCGCTGGCTGCAAATGGTGGAAACGGAGAGATGCAGAACGGCAATGCTGTCCAGCCTCCTGCAAATGGTCTCATCAACTTGGTATCCTCTAAGAAGTCAAAGCCGAAACGAAGAAGTGCAGGAGCAGAGAGGATCGAGACAGATCGGTTCAGCGGTGCTTATAACCCTAGACCCGTCTCCATGGCTGTTCCTAGTTCTACCGGTATCCGCCAGAACCTATCAGGGTCTACTTTCTCTCCTGGAATGGATTCTATCGAAGAAGAGCTGGAGACTCTCTTGTCTGAAGAGGAAGAGCTGAATGAAGAGGTGACCATGGGTCTCATACGCAATCTCAAGATACCTCTTCCCGGTTCCAATCCTCCTCCGACAGAAAAAGAAGTCTTGTTTCCTGCTTACCTCATTAACCTTGTTACCTCCGAGATGTGGAACAACGGTTTTGTGAAGGAATCTGAGAGATTTCTTGCCAATGTCATGCAGTCAATCCAACAAGAAGTTATGCAACATGATGGCGACGACGCAATCAATCCCGGTGCTTTCTGGCTTTCAAACGTGCATGAAATGCTTTCCTTCGTATTTTTGGCAGAGGATTGGTATGAAACACAGAAAACTGACAACTACGAATACGATCGTCTGCTGGAAATCGTGAAACACGACCTGGAGAGCTTGGAATTCAACATTTATCATACTTGGATGAAGGTGTTGAAGAAAAAGCTCTACAAGATGATCGTTCCGGCTATTATTGAGTCCCAATCACTTCCAGGCTTTGTTACCAGTGAAACCAACCGGTTCCTCGGGAAGCTCTTGCCTTCAAATAACCAACCAGCTTACAGTATGGACAACTTGCTCAGTCTTCTCAATAGTGTTTACAAGGCTATGAAAGCCTACTACCTCGAGGATTCAATCATCACGCAGACCATCACTGAACTTCTGCGGTTGGTTGGTGTTACCGCTTTCAATGATCTTCTCATGCGAAGGAACTTCCTCTCGTGGAAGCGGGGCCTTCAGATCAACTACAATATCACTCGGATAGAGGAGTGGTGCAAGAGTCACGATATGCCCGAAGGAACCCTGCAGCTCGAACATCTCATGGTAAGCTTGCCATTCATAAATACTCTAGAGAACAATACTGATCTCCGTTTTAGCAAGCAACCAAGCTTCTCCAGCTTAAGAAGGCGACGTTGAATGACATCGAGATCATTCAAGACATCTGTTGGATGTAAGTGTTTCCTTTTTACCAATGCTCACTTCACCGGCTTATCAAGGACTTTCACAGGCTATCTCCAAGCCAAATTCAGAAGCTCCTGAACCAGTATCTGGTGGCGGACTACGAGCAACCGATCAATGGAGAAATCATGAAAGCTGTGGCTTCTAAAGTTACCGAAAAGAGCGATGTGCTCCTTTTGAATGCCGTGGATATGGAAGACAGCGGTCCTTATGAGATCGCTGAACCGCGTGTAATCACGGCTCTGGAGACTTATACTCCATCTTGTGCGTATTTCTTCTCTCGTATTGTCAGTGGTCTTGCTAATGAGCAAACTAGGGCTCCAAACGCCTCGCCTGAAACGCATTGCCGAAATTGTGTCTGCCCAGGCAATGGCTCAACAAGAAAAACTTGACATGGAAAATGGTGCCATTGGCGCCGAATAGCGTTTCCGTCTACGCGCTAACTGTGCTCCTGACAAATTATGAATCGACACGATGCATTTTGCCCTTGATTCCATCTTTTTGGCTTGTGAATATATTCTTCCTATGGTAACAGACCTTGGTTTTGAAGAAATGCATGATTATATGGAGGGTATATTGTCCCTCATCGATCTGAAATTCCTCACTAAGAAAAAGCGCTTCAGTGCAATATTCCTGCGGACTCGTAATCCCTGCATGCCATCATTCATATATACCTATTTTCAACCGATCTAAAATGAACGGCGTCTCAGAATCACACTGATAGGCCCTTTGGTTTGATCCTATAGGATAACAGGAGTCTATATGCCACCTGATATAGTTACCAATTAAGTCATAATTGATGATACGCACGTTTGGGAATCTTCCAAGTTTCTCTAATTGATTCGGTAGAACTGGGCCCAATCTTTTTTGAGGCAACGAAGTGACAGCTGGATGTGTGGGCCCAGGGCGGCAACAGGTGCCAAGCAGGTGTCCGAACTCCCAGACTAGAGAAACTTGATTACGGAGAACGAAGTACTATCTTATTCCTTCCTCTTCCCCCTTGTTCAACTTTATCGCTCGAATTGAATTGCAACTTGGAAAGAAGGCACACAAAGGCGTTGGGATACGGTACATACAATACTAGTCTTCTAATACGAGATCAGCCCGACCGAAGTACTTTCTTATCTTACGTACTGTAATTCGGTTCGCCGGTACGTGTATCACGCGCTTACCAGTCTTTCGCATGATTCTCACCAGAAATGAGTAAAAGGTTTCAGCAATACCATCATCAGACCATGAGGACCCTTAATTTTATCACAGGCAACAAAAATAAATTGGCAGAAGTCCAAGCCATTCTCGGCGACACAGTGGAAGTTCAAAACCGTGCCATTGACGTCCCGGAAATCCAGGGCACTTCAGAGGAAATCGCAAAAGAAAAATGCCGCCGTGCAGCCGAAGTGGTAGGTTTGTAGCTCTGGTCAAAGGGCGTTCTCGACGAACTTGAGAACACATGAAGACTTACAGCGTCCGCCAATCTGAACCAGATAGGTGGCCCTGTCTTGACAGAGGACACTGCACTTGAATTTCACGCGTTGAAGGGGCTCCCTGGTCCATATATGTAATGTCATCCTCCGAGAAGGTATCTAGTTTTGGGCTTGTCGGGAAAACTAAGAAAAACCAGTAAATGGTTCCTCGAAGCTCTTGGCCATGACGGCTTAAACAAATTGCTTGATCCGTACGAAGACAAGTCCGCTGAAGCTGTTTGTACATTCGCCTTTTGCAGAGGCCCCGGAGAAGAGCCTATACTGTTTCAAGGAAGGACCGTGGTGAGTTTTATATGATCCGTGTTGCTGAACGCGACGGCGTCTGTAATAAATAGACTGAACTCTCCACAGGGTAAAATCGTAGCAGCACGCGGCCCAGCGAATTTTGGTGCGTGATGACCCTAATATAGCAATACGGACGTGAAACTCATTTGAGAGTGCAGGATGGGATCCAATCTTCGAATACGAAGGCCGGACCTACGCAGAGATGGATAAGCAGGAGAAGGTAAACCCTGAAAACATGTGTCCCGTTGCCTTAGTCACTGATCGATGACGCCTTGTCCCAGAATCAAATCTCCCATCGCTACAAGGCCCTGTTGAAACTGAAACAATGGCTAGCTGAGACGACCGTTTGATCTTATGTGAAAGTTACAATGAAGATTTTAGACAAGATCAGCATCGAAGAAGATATCAATCTGCTGCGGATTTGGCCCGAGATTTCTTCCATGCTTCTACCCAGGCTGCGATTCTAGCACAGTTGCTCTCTATATCTTCGCTGTTTTCACTCGTTAATTCAATCACGATTTCTTCATCATAAGCTTCTTTTGCTTCCTCCAGAAGCAATCCAAATATCTCGGCGTCCATATTTTCTTCCACTTTCGTTTGTGAATACCCCCTGTGAATATTCATATCTCATGGTCAGAGCAATATGTCATAATACTGCGAAATCTCATATCTATACAGGGAAATGTGTACCTTGCTGATAGACGGTCATATAATATAGATGTAGAAGGGCACCGTAAGACCACCACAAGATCGATCCAAGACTTAGGGAAGAGATCGCAAGCATGCCAGTCGATGAGATAACCTCCCTGGAGAACCTCATCCTCAATGGCGTCCAGCAACTAGCATCCAGCAAGAATCAGTAATAAGGACTGACTGATAAAAACAAGAAACAACATTAAGACTGATGCTCGGGCGAGTTCTTGCACGCGCGTCGCTTGCCGTCATATGGCAAATCTCATACGGACCTTGTCTTCATCGACTATCCAACTCTGACGCTCTTGGTCAAATCCGTCATAGCAATCTCGATCTTTAGCAACCTGGTTGATTGACAGATGTCGCAGCCCGGTTTCTTGCGCAACTTGGTCGCAGTGGACCGTCTTTCCTACACCAGGAGTACCTGTGATGATGATATTTGGTAAAGTTCTCATGATTGTGCGCCCACCCAGCGAAAACAACCCACGCAGTCAACCTTGTCTGTCTCGACACGGAAGGGCGCAATCCCTGTCGTCTGTTGAGGGAAATTGGCGGGATCCGGAAAAATTGGGAGGAGCAGTGGCGCCGATAAGCGCTGCGAAAAGATAATCTTTTTTCAAAAAATGATGCCAAGACGAAGGCGGGCAGTTTTTAAGTTTGTGTTGTTTTCAGTCCAAATGTATGTACCTACCTAGGTATACACTGGGCTAGTGCGGGATTGCTTATTATTTTAAATACTCCGTGCAGACAATGGCTGAAATAAGTGATCTATTAATGTAATTTCTCCAGAGAATCTTGTACAGACATTGATGTATGTTTTGTTTTAAAGAGCAGCACTTCCGGATACTAATGATAATGCCATACATTACAGACGGGTAATTCCACATCGCTTTGAATCAAAGCTCATCCACATTTAATTAAGCCAGGTGCCACATCCACATCGCTTAAAGATCGAGGATCTCTCTCTTTTTTTTAGTGGTGTGGTTTTATCACGTTGGAATGACTGAGAGAAATTATTTATTCTTTTGTAAGCATGTATTCCGCTGAGAAAAAAGAAATATATATATAACCTCATAAATCAAAACTTTAGTCGGTGATGCGCCAGAATATCCTTAACCAAATACGCAGCGAGTTACCCCGGTAGAAAAACTCTCGCTATGTATCTGTATAGGGTGTAAAGGGTCCAAATCATGGCACAGATTTGTGGCATGCTCGAAAGAAATCCTACGCCGTCACATCCTCAAATATACCTCACTTCCAGTAGAGCAGAGACCACTTTCCAGTAGAGCCTCCTTTTTTTTTCGGCCGGACCTTGTCAGTTTGCCTTGGATTTTCGTCTAGTATGAAACAAAACGGTGCATTATAGATTACTAGAAGCTCTATGTGCAGCCATGGTATTGATTTCTAGATCTCGATTGAAGACAAAGAGGTGGATCTAGACACATAACCGTAGTAATTCAAAGTCATTGTACTTTTGCAAGTAAGGGACTCCTCTCCTCCATGCCTTCATCAGTCGGGCAGGATCCGAAGCCTTCACAGATTGCCCGATCAGCCGTTTTATTGCTGGCGAGGTCTTAAACATCGGATCAAACACAAGCAAGTTTGCGCTGCCGTTCTCCCTGACTTCGAAGCCAATGATAGTCATGGAGTGCCCCTGGTGTTGGAAATAGATCGGGGGCAAATCGGTTTTCAAGACTTTCTCCTCTCCGTCTACCGAGCAGCCTGATCGAAAATAGGCCGCCACAGCCTGTAGCAAAGCATCGTGCGCACGCATCGATTCGGTCCTACTGAATGCGCTGGCTTCACATCTACAAACAGATGTGTTAGGTCGTAACCCAGTTAGGAATATACAATGCCTACCTTATCCCGAGGCTAAGAAAGAGAGCCTGTGCCTGCATGGTATTCAGCAGATGGGTTTACAACCGTTCAAATCCGATCTTACCTCCGGAGTACCAATGTATTTCCTTGTGCCTTTTATACCTCCTGTTTCGATCCTCCCAGTGCTGTTGTATCCCATGTCCCAGGCGCGCTCGATCAGGTCCTGTAGTTCAAGAATAGAGGGCACTCTGCCAGGAAAATGCTCATGACCAGGCCTCTGAGCTTCCTTAATGTGAGAAATGAGCATTTGTATGTTCCTATAGCCACAAAACCCCCCTTCCCTGGGTAATTTGAAAATATGTCGGACTTTGGGGCTGCAGAAAAAAGCACGCTGAACAGAGCTATCTTGTTGGCAAAGCTGCATTAGAACGGGAATGACCTGAGAGGTCTCGTTTTCGACAATCTCATCCCTCAGGATTGAGCCATTGGGACCTATTTTGTTCAATCTGGTCACTTTAGCCCCATTCTGCAGTAGCTTCCGCAACCATGCCGGCATCTGCTTTTCATGAGCATAAGGGCCCAATTCCGCGCGCTACATGACTGGTTAGCACGAGTAATTGTCAAGAGTCATACGGATTGCTTAGTACCCCTAGTCTCTTTATACTGCCTCCTGTATGAGTGGCCGTCTCACGAATCTCACGTCGACGTCCAGTTTCCGACGATTTCACCTTCAAAACCGGGTCGTGATCGTGTGAGGCGGCTAAATGTTGAGCATCTGACAAACACTGCTCGATCTCGAAAGAGCCGCGGAAGTCACTATTTTCACAGTTCGCCCTATGGATCCGGTCGTCAAACTTCCCGGAATCTTCGAGTGCTAACGTTTCTGCAACGTGCAAATCCAGGTGGGTTTGCAGTTCAGCGGTTGTCACGGATTCTCCACAGCCATGTGGACAATCGATATACGAGTTTCTGTCACCATGTTCATTCGTCAAGCGACATTGCACACGTTGAAAGTTTTCCTCGGCCGTTCTGATTGCCGCTTCGCTGTCATCGTGCCTGTCGGAAGGCGACTTCTCTTCCTCTGGGTGACAGACTTCAGCGTGCTGGCTCAGAAAATAGCTATCATGATCGCTGAACTCGCAGAAGGGGCATGACAATGGCTCATTTCTTGCGTCATCCATAACACGCCTATGGATTCCACAAATATCCAGCTACAGCGTTTGGTGATGCTGGAATTTCCGCCTGTGGGTGGTTGCCAGTTGACGCTGACTACGTACCTACGCTAATCACGGGAGCCGGTGCCTCAGCCGCTGGCTCCAGCCATCCGGGGGTGGGGTCGTATTGGCTGGTATAAGCTCAAGACAATCATAAAGAATGGCTTTGAAATTTAACGAAACGAAGATACGATAAAAAAATAGCGAAAAGAAGGGATGAAAAAAAAAAAGAAAAACGAGGGAAAAGCGATCAAACGAGAGGTGTCAACATTGATATCCGGACCTAGTGCCAACAGCTCTCATGCTATTACTCACCAGGTATATTGGGTATCTGAGGAGGTAGGTAACGTCAGGGAAGGGAGGTTTATTGAGGTTGACAGTTATATGTATATATGTACATGCTTACAAATTGCCCGCTTGACCTTACATATATATGCGTGCATGTATATATTGGCATCCGCTGCAGTCTGTAGTTTGCTTGTCTGATGAGTGGTAATGATAGGTAGTCCGCCGTAATTTACTGTACGCTGCTAAGGAGCTAAGATTGACTCATTCCATCCGATCGTGGCGGGGCACCGGGAACAGCCTTACAACAGCCGGCTGAAGGGAATGAGAAGAAGAGAGGGAAAGGGATCGAATTCTATGATGCCTCCAGGGGAAAAAAAAATTTGGCATCGATTGGGATACAGACTATGCACTGGACAATCGCAATTGCATGCCTTGAAGCCATGCCGATGACCTAAGACTGTTTCCGGCTGAACTGGGCTAGGCGCATGTGAGGTCTTCCGCCCGCAGCGCCGATATCGTTGGTGGCCCTGTGCCCGCTCGGCGCCGAAAAAAAAGACAAGGTATAGAGTCATCGTGGACTCCGCTTCGCAAGTATTCCGGAGGCACTTAAGTCAGGCCCGGCCTCTCCCGGCCTCTCCTGGAGAACAATCAAGGCATTTGTGCTCTACTCTTACTTCAATTTCTTGTCCGGCAGCATGAATTCCCTCCCAGAACCTGTCTCACTGCCTACCCCGCCTCTGGCAAACGGCGACGCCATGAGATCCGATGCCGGCTGGGTTGTCCAAAAATTTGGCGGGACCAGCGTGGGCAAGTTTGCGTTCAACATCGTTGATCAGATTGTCATGTAGGACCTGAACCATTGGCCTTCAATCCCTTCCATGCGGTTTTCCAATGAGTTGCTGATTGCTCCTGGTTGCATTTAGACCCTCTCTATCCGAACACAGAGTCGCCGTGGTCTGTTCAGCCAGAAGCAGCTCATCCAAGGCCGAGGGCACCACAAATCGGTGAGTCACAACAACCCTATTCTTCCATGCCTCGTTACAACCTCCTAACGTTTCTCCGTTCCACAGCCTGCTGCGGGCTGCGCGGGATGCCGAAAACCCTGAATCGCAAAATTATGTTACCTTGGTGGAAGCTGTGCGGCAAGAGCATCTTGCGGTTGCTGAACAACAGCTGCAGTCGATCGAATTGAGGGACCGGTTGATCACAGAGATTCATGAGGAATGCGCTCACGTTCTCAAGATCTTGGAGGCCGCACAGACCCTGGGGGAAATCAGCCCTCGATGTGTTGACAAAGTGATCAGCACTGGAGAGAAGCTGAGCTGTCGCTTGATGGCAGCCCTTCTTCAAGATCGCGGGGTTGACGCGCAATACGTGGACTTGGCCGAGGTAATTGACTTCCCAGTCGGTAATCAGGGCCTCGATCAAGAATTCTATGACCGCCTGGCCGCTGTCCTGGGCGCCAAGGTTGAAGCTTGCACGATAAAGGTGCCGGTCGTGACTGGTTACTTTGGGCCGGTCCCAGGCGGCTTGCTAGATAAGATCGGTCGTGGTTATACGGATCTCTGCGCCGCCCTTGTTGCAGTCGGAGTCCATGCGGAGGAACTGCAGGTGTGGAAAGAGGTCGATGGGATCTTCACTGCGGATCCCCGGAAAGTCCCTACCGCTCGTCTGTTGCCAACCATTACGCCAGCGGAGGCCGCGGAATTGACATTTTACGGGTCCGAGGTCATCCATCCCTTCACAATGGAACAAGTCATTCGGGCAAGAATACCCATTCGGATTAAGAATGTCATGAACCCCAAGGGGAAAGGCACTGTGATCTTTCCCGACTCGCCGGCAGAGCTCGAGAAAACGACTCCTGGACATGATCCAAAGCTTTTCCGGACGCGAAGCTCGAGCCTTCTGTCGCACCATGAACGTCCGAAGAGACCGACGGCGGTGACCATTAAACACAAGATTCTCGTGATCAACGTGCACTCCAACAAACGCTCTTTGTCGCATGGCTTCTTTGCAGGAATTTTTTCGGTTTTGGACCGATGGCGTCTTTCGATCGACTTGATCTCCACCAGTGAGGTCCATGTTTCCATGGCTCTTCATTCGGAAATGCCACTGCTTAATGGTGTTGGCCGAGACGAGTATCAGATCGTTGATGAAGACCTCCGCGGGGCCATTCAGGACCTGAGGAAATATGGCACGGTCGATATTATCCCGGAAATGGCGATTCTCAGTCTTGTAGGGAAGCAGATGAAGAATATGGTCGGGATCGCCGGACGGATGTTTTCGACCCTTGGCGAGAACAATATCAATATTGAAATGATATCGCAAGGTATGTCCAGCAGTTGATTGGGGCTCGTTTTCTTTCCCTCTTCCATCTGGGCGGTGTGGATGCTGACCTTGTCCAGGGGCAAGCGAGATCAATATCTCGTGCGTCATAGATGAACGAGATGCCGATCGTGCGATCAATATCCTCCATACCAGTCTGTTCACTTTCTTGGATTGACCCTTGGACCCTGGATTTGTTTCGCTTTTTTTTTCTCTCATCCAGAAATGTTGCCGGCGCACTAGATCCGATCCTATTATTTCATTGGTGCAGAAGGCATTATTTATTAGACTCAACTGGTTGCATAGAAACCCACTTATTTCCTTAGGTCATGATACGGGAGATAGAGCGGCACATTGTTCGGAAAAATTTTTCCGGAGGCGGCGCACCACGGGCGTTTATATATTCAGTTGACTTTTTGACATTTGTTTGGGAGGGGCTGTTTGGGGTAAGGATATTTTCTTGCTTCACGACATCTCATGAAGAACGAAAACGGGCGTAATCTTGTTCTTGTTGTCTGTATATATATATATACTTCTTGTTCAGTAGATAGATAGACATTGACATTATCGTCTGGCAAATGTAGGCAGTTTGTGACACTCTCGGCCTCGACTCCGAGGACTGTGGCTCACAGTCACGAGGTCTGTCAGGGAACTGTGAATAATGGAGAGAACAAGCACAGAGTACGTGAGGAGGGACCGCGTTAACAATACTACCTGGGACGGGTATGCATGTCTCAAAAGCCGTCGCTTTCGCCACCATCTATTTGGACTGGGAATCAACAACGATGGCCCTGTTACACCGATGTTTTTTTTTTCGTTTCTTGGATAGATCTATTTCCCACCGAAAGTCTCCAGCAAAATCTCCATACCCGATATGCCGTAACGCCTTTGATGTATGAACAGTACAGTACATACATCCAAATCCTTGCAATGCAACTCGAATAAAGCAATTCTATTGGTTGTCCCGAGGGCTTGGGCATAACAGTATGACTCCCTTGGTTGGGATGGTTGTGTAGTTGAAGAGTTGGCTTACAATGGCATTTTTCTAGTGGACGGCGCTGCTGTTATGAGGATCTGTTTGCGATAGGAAGTAGTTCGGGGCATTGGATGGATTCGATCGCTAGATCTAGGCCTACGACTATTAGATACCACTCTGTGTATCATTTAGCTGGAGGTCTTCTGCCGCATATGATTGATTAGATTTCTTCCCGTGCCAGGATGGAGGACGGTGTACGGAGCACGGAGGAGCTAGGATGATATTAACGATCCTTGCTTCCAAGGACGTCGCTCTGATCCATCAGGCTGGGTAGTCAGGGCGAACCTATCAGGGCGCTCGGATGCATCCTCCAGGCATCGTTTCCGGCACGCGTCGCCAGGAGCGAGACGATTGGGCAGAAGACGCAGACCACCCGCGCCGAGGCAGGGCAGGGCAGGGCGGGAATGGAGGGCGGCCTGCCCACGTCACTCGGGCCCCACCCCGCTCGGCGCTTGAAACACGCGGGCTGAGCCACAGGGCCAGCGTCGTCCTGTGACCGTCCCAAACACGCGTCGTGCTCCCCATCGACGCGTGTCCAACGCGTCTATGACAATACCTGACCGCATCCATCTTCCCCCAGCGTCGAGGCTTTTCTGATCGCCCTTGGCTCTGTAGTTCAGTCTTGACGCCCGCGCCCACTTCCCTCGTCGAAAGGTCAACCTTGCTCCCGGTTATTGGCATCTTGGATCCGCCGAATTATCCTTACCTTTCGCTTGATTTCCACCCCCCATTGTCTTACCCCATCTCCGGATCGCCGGATTTGCGGGCCTAAAAGTCGCTGCCTTAACCTGAGCCTGTCTCCCTCTCCGCCTCTCCCAGATCCACGCCTTTGTCCTCCAGGGAAAAAAGAAAGATCCCTCCTCGTCCGCTGCCTGTCCCAAAGCCTCGTTACTGTGCCAATCTGCTTTGGTTTTGGGTTCTTGGAATCTACGCCGTCTTTGCAATTTGGATGCCTATCTATTCATTTCAAGACTCCCTTATCGATCCGTCGCTCGGTTGGTATCCTATCCTGAGTGACCAACCTCTTGACCTTCCCAGCCGGCTATCCTTAATTGTCCTCGAGTTCTCTCACGTCCTTTCACGTGTCACACCCTACGGTCTCTGCAGCCATCGATTCGGATACCTTGTCGAGCTGTCGTCCAGATGGCTTCGACGCGTCCTCCGCCTGAGTCGCGGAGTAACCCTGATATCCCTCCGTCATCCGACCGGCCAATGAACCCCTCAAAGCAGCCTGCTGGTCTCCAACCGTCGCCATTGCCTCGCGACCCTGTCGAGAATGTGTCTTCAACTTCAGATTGTGTTCTGAATCCGCCATCCAGCAGTGCTCATGGTCCCTCACCTGTCAAGGGCCGTCGTCGAACAAGTTCTTCTCATCCAGGACAAGGAAAATTGAATTTCGTATCCATCACAGCTCCCTCGCCTCCGATGTTCACAACCGATTCCCCTACCAAGAAACCCCCCTCCGCCGAGAATCATCGTCGAACCCCGTCATTACCTCAGCAAGCTTCTTCTTCTTCTTCTTCTTCCTCCACCCATGCCAGTGCGCCATCCGCGCATACACAGGAGCAACAATTGAAACCAGAAGCGGGCAACGACGACAGCTTTGCTGATTTTCCCGATCCCACGTGCGAGGTTAAACCTCCTCCGAAGAGGACCCTCATGGAGTCCGCTCCATTGAAAGATCGACCTGCGAAGAAACAGAAACGAGAGGAACCATCCAATTTTACGCTTCCTGAGCCTCACGAAATGCCTCCTATCGAAGATGATGGCACCAAGCCTCCTTACAGCTATGCGACCTTGATTGGCATGTCAATCTTGCGCGCCCCGAATCGAAGATTGACGCTCTCGCAGATTTACAAGTGGATCTCCGACACGTTCTCGTTCTATCGATCTGGTGATACGGGCTGGCAGAACAGTATTCGACACAACCTCAGTCTGAACAAGGCATTTGTCAAACAGGAACGCCCGAAGGATGATCCAGGAAAGGGAAATTACTGGGCGATCGAGCCCGGTATGGAGGCGCAGTTCCTCAAGGATAAGCCTGTCCGTCGAGCCACAATGTCAAGTATGCCCCTTCCTGCGTCATCCGGGCAGAAGGAGTCGCCTTCATTTACTCCAAATTCTGGAACAACTATGTGGAGAGTCCCTCCGCCCCAGCCTTCATCCAACCAAGCTTCCCAGGCCAGCAAAACCCAGGACCTATCCTCTGACGCGACCCTACCTGCTTCGGATCCTGCACTTCAGGATGACAGTGGCGATGAAGGCGTCTGCGTTGCGGCCTCTCAATCTCAGGTCCCCCGTTCCTCCCCCCCTCAGGTCATCCATTCGTCTCCCCCTGTCGCCCCCCCACGTTACTTGCGCCAAGGTACTCCGCCTACTCCGTCCCGCCCGACCTCGTCTTCGGCAGCTGCTCCACGCTCACGGAAGCGCCCCTCTGTTGCCATGAATGACAGCGGTTACTATTCTTCACTCGAATCGTCGGCGCTGAGGTCCAACAAGGCTGGCCATATCCTTACCTCGGATTTGGATATCGAACCACCCCGCATTAAACGTGGCCGTGCGGAAGAAGAGATTGCGCGTATCCGGAGCTCCTCCCATGACATCAGTCCTAGCCATTCTACAGCGTCGAAGAAGGATCCAGCTCCTGGGGCCGGGTCTTCTCCTTTCCGTGGAGAATATGTCAGTCTATTGCCTCCTCCAATCACCCCGGTGATCAAGTTCAAGAAGCCTACAAAGCCGCCGCCATCGCTTTCACCAAATACCAATCTGCGTAATCACCGGAGAAAGATACAGCAGATGGTGAATTCTCCGATCAAGAGCCTTGGATTGACTGATGAAGACCTTCCTTGGAGTCCCGCCTTCAATATTCAGGACGAGACATTCACGCCGAATGACAATCATAATGTGCATTTCGATATCTTTGCCGATGAGACCGGCGAGAATATCTCCACTCCAGTCTATAAATCTCCCACAAAGCGTTCCGGCAAACGGGTTTCAGGCGAGGGGACGGAGGCTTCAGACTCTGTACTAGCTGATATCACTGCCGCAAGTGGCAATAAGCAAATGGGTCCTGTGTCTTCGAACAAAGCTAAGAGCCTTGATCTCCCGGAGTCTCCATCTAAGATGCCAGAATCCGCCCATTATGTCGATGCTGCAAATGATGACTTTTTCTCGTTCAGTCTCTTCGATGACAGCCCTGGCGATGTGGATGGTGTTGACCTTTTGCAAGGGTTTCAGAAAATTGGTGGAGCGAACAAGGATGAGTCTACCTCCAAAGGACATGGACTCCATTCCCACCTTACTCCTCACAATAACACTTCTTTCTTCTGAAAGGTAATTTTTTTTGCCTCTTCTTCGAATCTGGTTCGTTTGATGACCAGTATACTATTTCTTGGAGGGTTGCAAAGAGGGCAGTCAATGGTTGGAGCGTCATTTCTGATCCTTCTTTTGCCATGGCCTCCTTTTGATATTCAAAACGGAAATCGGGCGCTTCACAACACGATTTGGGAAAGTAATTCTTGATGCTTTTCAATATCTTGCCTCCTATGGCTTCATGATTATCTTGTGTTGGGGTAACAAATGTTTGGAGTCTTTAGGAGGGAAACTGGTTTTAGCATTGTCAGGTCTGTTTTGAGGGTTAATTGCTTTTTGTCATGAGTGTGGGACGTTCAACTTGTCACGATCTGATGAACCATGTTAAGATGTACATGACCAATGCGATGTCTCTATGAACTTTTGACCTGCCTACTTGATGTTTAGCACAAATGACAGTGATTGATCACAATCGAACGCCTTGAACATTATCTCAGCTCTAACTTTTTTTTTTAACCTTTAATTCCCTCACACTCCAAAGGACCCGTAATAGAATGGCCATTATTCATGAATGCTAGGAAGGGTATCAACTCGCCATGTAGTGATAATGACAGATATTTCGGGTAATATGACAGTCCCAGACATATCCACACTTGACTTCCTGCGCCAGACGCCCTCCAAATCACATAGTAAAAAGAGAATTTGCCCCCCCTACTATGACCGATAACTCTGGTAGTCAACACAGATAATACCAAAAAGCGTACAGGATGCACGTAAAACAATGCTGTAAACCACAATACCGAGATATTTCCGATTCATAAGGTGGGCCCATCCGGAAGGAGCAGTTCGGATCCTAAAAAAAAAATGAAGGAGGCAATTTCTAGTCACTGCTGGCGCAGCCCCTGCAACCGCAATTTACGCATTGAATCGCCTGCTCCTCCTTGAGTTGCGCTTTCGGCACTCGGCAAATGCAAGTCGCATTAAAGTTGGTCTCCTTGGTTTGGATGCAGCGAAGGCAACAGAGCTGGAATGCCATGGAGTTGTTAGCCCAGTGTCCAGCAAGGAAGGAGGGAGAACATAAGAAGGATAAAACGTAGAAAGACGGGGAAAAAAAATTGCTCATAGAAACAAATATATGTGGGAATACCTTTTCGTAACCCTGTTTCTTCCACTTTGCGATCAAGTTTGCATCAGCATAGTTGTTTTTTAATAGCCAGTCGTACAACTCTTTCGATATAGCTTGTTTCACATAATACAGGTCATATATATATCTTGATCCTGGAGGGTCCACAACAGTTAGTACCTGATTCTGTCAGAATAGCAAGAAGCTTATGTGTAATAAAGCTACAACAAAGAAGGGAACTGGAGTGTCGACAAATGGCAACTCACGTTGATGGCTGATCTGAAAGATGGGCCATAAGACCTCATGCTTCTTCTTCCCTTCATGAGAGGCATTTTCTGCATCTTTCATCTTGTTGCTGAATTCTAATAACGTATCTTCAATGTCATCGAAGCCGGCTGGCGGGGGTTTGCGATTGCGGGACGTCCGGATTGGAGGCATTTTGCAGATTGCAGGTTTCGGGAAAACAAATAAAAAAGGGTAAAATTGGTACAGCGGGCAGATTAAAAGAGATTCATTTGTCTCTGGAACAGAAACAAAGCGCTGATATGTCTTGGGAGCTGTATTGTTCTTTTGAATCCAAAATGCCCGCTTCTTCTGCGGCGGCGGCAACGTCCATGACTAACCAGGCAACGCACTGCCCAGGCTAACTGTTTTTCTGCCGCTTGACACCGCCTTTAATTGACCGTCCGTCGGGATTGCAGCTCACGACGTCAGTATACTACTTCAAGATCTCTTGTCTGTCTGTTACGACTACGAATCGAGTCCAAAAAATCCCCTCAGAAGCTTATTCCATACTGAAAAGTCCGATTTTATTACTTTTACGTCAACATGGACGGCCAGCCTCAGATCGACATATCCAAGCTTAGCGCTTCGGACCGGCAGGAATTGAACCAGTTTTTAACAAATGAAGCACAGAGGACAAATATCCAGCAGGGTAGGATGCAAACAAGCCAATCTTTCCAATTGATTCCCATGGTCCCCGTCTAATTTTTTTCCCCCCACTTGATTCGACCACTTTGGGTCGTTTTCCTGGTGCGGAGTTCCTCGCTGACTTCTGTTTTTCTGCACATCGTCTAGCCGTTCACCACCTTTCCGATATCTGCTGGAAGAAATGTATCACTACGATCAAATCCGGTCAGCTTGACCGAACAGAAGAGACGTGCGCCCAGAATTGCGTGGAGAGATGGATGGATGCCAACCTGGCTATCTTGAAGCATCTGGAAAGCCTTCGTGGACAATAAATTTCTTTCCGTCAATGGCAGTTCTTAAGCTCTCCTTGTCGATGGACATGAAGAAGATGAGATCGTTTCGTCATCGGGGACCAAAATGTTACTATAGGGGAATTGGCATTCGTATGGGATTCGACCAATTGATGCGGAGGACGGAGCACTTCGGAAACATGTAATTCTATTTACTTTTTTTACTGTATTATCAACCCGACCTAGAATGAGCCCCATAAACTGAATACGTCTGGAACAATTTTTTTTCTTGGAAGAATCATTTAAACTTCGTTGTAGTTTTGGCGTTTTAGCCGTGACTGATATTTTAGATGAACCACCTAATGAACCATCCAGACCCAAGGAAATTTCTTTTTTATTCTTTAGACAATAGCCAGCTTGGTGGCCGCAATATCCAGAGCATCCACATCAGGAGTTAGCCGACAGAAAGCCTTCTTCTTACCATCGGGTCTGCTCAGAAGTTAGCTACAAACACAGAGAATTACAACAACCGCGTTTGGATCGTCTCCTTTCGTACCTGATGAGCGTGTTGACCTTGACAGTGTCAACATCGTACAACTTCTTCAGAGCCGCCTTGATCTGCCGCTTGTTTGCCTTCACATCCACAATGAAGACAAGGGTGTTGTTCTCCTCAATTTTCTTCATGGCACTCTCGGTGTTCAGGGGGTGGATGATGATCTTGTGGGCGTCGAGGCGAGGCTCATGAGGAATAGATTTGCGGGGGTACTTCGGCGACCGGGAGAGCTGAAGGGTCTTGGGACGGTGGAACGTCGTCGAAGTGCGAATCTTGCGCGACTTCTTGGAGTGGATCTAGAAGACAATCTCAGCATTGAATTCAGGCATGAAAACCGCGGGGTACGATTGAACATACGCCAACTCCCTTGAGGACCGCCTTAGCCGCAGCGCCAGCCTTGTCGCTGGGCTTGACCTTGGTACCTGCTTGGAACAATAGGTGTCAGTTACTGTGCCGCTGAAAGGATCGCAAATAGACGATTCCGAGAGCCACGAATTGTCAAGATTTAAATTCACTCCACAGGTCACGCCGCGGAAGGTGTATAGGCTTTTGATCAGGTGCATATCTTGATATGCGGGCATTTTCGACGGCGACGAGATTTCCTGCATTGCGAACGGCTCCGGGAAAGACATCTTGACAATTCCTGGTAGACAAAAAGCAGGCGAAGAAATTTCAAGTAGTCATTACCTTTCTTGTTTTCCCCCTTTGGTGCCATGGCTGTCGTAGGCGTTGTCGAGATGGTTGTCACGGACTCAAAGTGTCGAGAACCCGAATTGTTGAAGTGCACTCGCTAAGCGAAAACCCTCATTCTGCTGTGTGGGTCACCTGACTTAGATAGTTCTAACAAGCAGAGGCGGTTATTGCTCGAGGTCCCTCACCGCCCGCGGACCCAAAGTTAAAACATTAGGGTTCTGCCGCATCCGATCGCAGGCAATACTCCGTAATGACTTGTAGAAACGTCGCAGATGCCATAGATCTTATTGGGACGGTCTTCCTAGCATGACCGCAAAGAAGCAGCGCTCTAAGCGCCCTTTGCTGCTCTCCAGCACTCGTCCGCCGCTGATCAAGAAAGCGAAGCCTCCGTCGTTGTCCTCAAAAGCAACGCGGAATCTAATCCGCTCTCACCATCAACTTCTCAAAGCGCGCGCAAAGGCTTTGGCTGCTGGAGATTCCGACCTAGTCAAAAACATTGACGCTCAGATTGAAGCAAATGGCGGTTTGGAAAGCTACCAGCTTGCCAGCAGGACGGGGCAGTCGGTTGAGCGAGGAGGAGACTCGAGCACTGTTCTCATTGACTGGATCCATCCCATTTTGACACAACTCAGAGGTTCTTCTTGTAAGCTGAGGGTCCTTGAAGTTGGAGCCCTCAGCACCAAGAATGCCTGTTCCAAAGATCGCTCCCTTGACGTCACAAGAATTGACCTTCATTCTCAAGAACCTGGGATTTTGCAACAGGATTTCATGGAGAGGCCTCTCCCCACAAGCGATGAAGAGCGCTTTCATCTGATCAGCCTTTCGTTGGTATTGAATTATGTTCCTACCGCTGCCGGGAGAGGAAATATGCTGAAACGATGCACTGCCTTTTTAACAAAGGTCTTACCTCCTGACTGCCCTCTAACCGATTTTTCTCCGTGTTTGTTTCTTGTGTTGCCTGCTGCATGCGTCACCAATTCGCGGTATCTCACCAAACAAAGGCTGCAGGACATCATGGCATCCTTGGGATTCAGTCTACTGAAGGAAAAAGTGACAGCGAAACTTGTATATCAATTGTGGGAGTATGACGGCAGTTCAAGTCATGGACATAAAAGGTTTAGAAAAGAAATGTTGAATCCCGGAAAGTCAAGGAACAACTTTTGCATTACCCTCGATGATAGTATGTCGACGATGGGTACGAACAGATGATCACTTGTATTGATAACAAAGATAAAATATAGTCTAATTGGCAGAAATGCTTTCTTTTGGTAAGAATGCCCATACTGTTCCAATGATCGCCATTATCGACGACATAACCAGGAGCACCCAGTCTGCAATTCTCTCTCCAAGAGGGATCTCCTTTCCGAAAATCTTCAGATAGAATGCCAGCGGCAATATGATACATATCGTGAAGCACAAGCAGGATCCCATCAATGCCATAATACGGTCGAAAGATGGAAACACGATCGAGATGAAGACGATTACAATCACAACGAAAATGCGAACCGCGAACCTCGCCATGCGGATTGCCGTTTTCGTGGATCCATTGGCCTGGAGGGAAAGGAAGTCGTTTTGTGAGTTGAGGCCACAGAGGATTTCAACAGTAGCTATGAGTGGTCGGCAGCTGAGGGCGTTGTTAGCACTTTCGTCAGGTCCATCTGACCAGGCCGGCAATACATACTTCAACGGTACTTTCGTAATCGGAATAATCGCGATGAATATAATAATGCAGATCGACAGACCACGAGGATAGCCGGCAGTCAACAAAATGTTGGCGGTGATCTCGTCACGAACCGCATCTCCAAACATCAACCAGCCAATGACCGCCATGGCACAATCGAGTGAATACTAATTCGGAAGGTGAAGTTAGAGAATGAAGTTCTCCTAGGAAATGGCCGTCTTACAGTGAATATGTATGTAGCCAGCAGACTTCTCCCGTACTTAAAAGGATGTCTCATGTCTCGATAGATGTTTGGGAAAACACCATGGCCGCCCCAGGGAGCTATGCAGGAGTCAGATACCCTCATCCCCGTTTTCTTCTCTAGAATTGACTTACACATAATGAGCCCGAAGCTGAGTGGGACAGTGGCCCAATTATCCGGAAAGATCGAAGTTCTCGCTGGTTGATGCAGCGAGCCAGGTGAATTTGGTTTAATAAAGCCGTCGATGACCACTATCATGACAACTTCGACGAGTTAGTACAGTTGGCAGAGGTGTAAGAGAGCACTCCAAAAACTTACTCGCAGTGCACGATAGTATACCAAGGACACTGGTTACGCTCAAAAATCTCAGAGGGACGAAATTCAGCGGGATCAAAATGATTCCACAGACAATCTTCCACTGGACAAGGCTAAGTCCAGGAATCAACGCATCAAGACTGTCGGCGAACAATACCACAAGCGCGACACATGCGCCTACAAGTTCCAAACAGAAAAGAAGGCTTGTAATGATACGGGCCTGACGTCCAAAGCTGATATACGCCAAGTCCGCATATGTTACCAGGCTATAGTCAACATCCAAGCATTTTGCGAGAATTTTGGCGGTATAAGCTGTGGATACTGCCGCAAAGGCTAGAAATAACAGCCCGATAAGCCATCCAGCGTGCTTAATCCCCAGGGGAAGACTAAGCAAACCGACGCCAATCAATACGTTGACTGAATTGAAGATGGTCTGCGGGACAGTAGACTTCCCAACGACGACGTTTTGCTTCGTCCCGTCTTCACGTTGTACTTGTCTAATGAGTAGTGGTTCGCGATCTGTATCCTGATCTCCATCTATGGACTGCTGCTGCTCACTGTGGAGTTGAATTGCACGTTGCCGAGTTACGTCACTTACTCGAGACGAAATCGTGCCGTAAGACGTTCCAAAACTCCTGCTTAGGGATGATGTCTCATGGGTACCAAGGAGTCCAGTATCCGGGAAATCTCTCCTTGAGGGTCCCGCTAGTGAAGTTTCATGCCTGTCATCTTCAATGACACCATCTGACTGTGTCCTTGTTAAGCCAGGATGCCAAGGTAGAAGTGGCTGTCGCTCCTTGGGTTCTAGGTCCTTATAAGCGCTACTGGGACTAGCAGCCTGGGAGGCGTCGGGTCCGGCGAATATGAAGGAGGGTCGGCGCGGTACGACTTCTGGAAAAGATGCTGCTCTCTGCCACGAGCGTGCAAAATTGTCGATGCTGTTCACTCCGCCTGCATTCCGAAAACGCATGGAGATCGATGACGTCCTAGACGTTTGGAACAGGTGTAAGCGGCCAAGTCAGAGACCTTGAAACGACATGCAGCCCTATGGAGGGTCACCTTTGGAGAGCATCAGAGTTCGACTCAAGACCATTCTCCAGGGTGTCGTCGTCAAAATTATTGGCAGATGAAGACGGAGAGAAACGACCGGGGATCCATGAGGCCATATATGAACGGACAGATCCTTGGCTGAATGAACGGCGATATTGTTCCTCACTTGAACCAGAGGTTTCCCTTCTTTCCGTACGCGACATTGGGAACAAAACAGTAAGGTCGATGGAGACCAACACAATTAAAGCAGACGTCGGACAAGGCGGAGGTTTCCAAGGGATGGCAAAAATACTGTTTTAAGACTCAACTGCTCCTGAACACCTCAATTGGTGTGGCCTGGACTTCAGATCTAGAATGATCTATGGGATTCGGAGAGTTGAATTCAGTTTATCCAGAGTGGAAGGAGAGGTCAAGATAGACGCCAAGTAAGTGTATGGCAGTGTATAAGCTTCATTGGAATCTCTGAAAGACCGTGATGACCGGAGTTGGTGCCATTGAGGTTGGATTATTACAAGTGTTTGTGGGAGACATGTTTAAAGGTATCTACCTAGGTAACCTCTCCATACCCACCAGACCAGATAACCATAGATCTAGGTCACGACTAGCCCTCATGGCGGGGTCACTGATAAGCAGTCACATGATCTAACACAATAACCAATGTGTGAGCACTGGGCTCAACCCTCGAAGTAACAAAACACAAATACTCCGTACTCGAAGTTGCTTAGACACATATAATCCATATATATAAAGAAAATACGTAGGGGATTTCGGAAGACATTAAAGTACACCGTGTGATCAGGGCTCTGCGCCCCCCAGGAAATAGTAGCATTTACCCACTTTGCTTGTACCGGACCAGAGATACTCGTAACTCTCAATAATGTTTCCTTGTTGAGGACAAGAGTGTAGCAGCAATATGGATGGCTAGTTGACCACAATGATATGTACAATATTATTATTCTTATAGACACACCACACTGGGCATAGTATGGGATGGAGGAAGGGTGAGTCAGTGCTACCGTGGCACAGTATTATTAGCCACACGGAGTGACTGACCAATCATCTCCCACATCTATGATTATATCAGCGCCCGTTGCCTGACGATGTTTTTTAACCCCCACAGCATACCTTGACGAAAATTACTGAACAACCCCGCTGACTGGAGTTGAAGATAGGATCTTGCTCAGCCTCATCTGTCCTGAAGCTATTTCGATTTATCCTTTGACTGGATAAATTACAGGACTGACAGAGTAGTCCTTTACCTCAACGAGCAAGGCTTTCATCAACCCAGTCACACGTCGTTGTCGCCCAACATGAGCACGACTCAGGCCAACGACGCGGAGAAGAACATCGAGATATGGAAGGTGAAGAAGCTGATCAAGCGGCTCGAGGCAGCGAGAGGAAATGGAACATCCATGATTTCTCTCATTATCCGTGAGTATCCCCTCTTTCAAACTGGCCAGCCCCAATGCGGCTACTAACTGGGCCTCTACAGCCCCAAAGGACCAGATTTCTCGAGCCGCGAAGATGTTGGCTGAAGAATTTGTAAGTTGCTCCCCCCTTGCCACACCACATTGACCGCATGACCTAACTGTTTAAAGGGCACGGCATCAAATATCAAATCTCGTGTCAACCGTCTGTCAGTTCTGTCAGCCATTACGTCTACGCAGCAGCGTCTGAAATTGTACAACAAGGTCCCTCCGAATGGTCTTGTCATCTATTGTGGTGAAATTATCACAGCGGAAGGCAAGGAAAGGAAGATCAACATTGACTTCGAGCCGTTCAAGCCGATCAACACGTCTCTGTATCTTTGCGACAACAAATTTCATACCGAAGCTCTCAGCGAGCTGCTCGAATCTGATCAGAAGTTCGGTTTTATAGTCATGGACGGCAATGGCGCACTCTTCGGAACGCTCAGTGGCAATACCAGAGAGATCATCCAGAAATTCACTGTCGATCTTCCCAAAAAGCATGGTCGTGGTGGTCAATCCGCGCTACGTTTCGCTCGTCTCCGAGAGGAAAAACGCCACAACTATGTTCGCAAGGTTGCTGAATTGGCAGTTCAAAATTTCATCACAAATGACAAGGTCAATGTTGCTGGGTTGGTACTTGCTGGATCTGCAGACTTCAAAAACGATCTCAACCAGTCGGACATGTTCGATAGTCGCCTCCAGGCGAAGGTCATAAAGGTTGTTGATGTTTCATATGGCGGTGAGAACGGCTTCAACCAGGCCATTGAACTTGCCTCTGAAACTCTGGGAAATGTCAAATTCATCCAGGAAAAGAAGTTGATCGGAAAGTACTTTGAGGAAATTAGTCAGGACACCGGCAAAGTTTGCTACGGCATCGATGACACACTCAAAGCAATGGAATTGGGTGCAGCGGAAACTCTGATTGTCTACGAGAACCTGGATATTACCCGCTGGGTTCTCAAATCCTCTAGTGGTAATGAGGTCATCCTTCATACCACCAAGGCTCAGGAGGCAAACCGAGAACTTTTCATGGATAAGGAGACCGGTCAAGAAATGGAGGTTGTCGAGCAGACTTCGTTCCTGGAATGGCTTGCTGAAAAGTACAAGGATTTCGGAGCTACATTGGAATTCGTGTCCGACAAATCCAGCGAGGGAAACCAGTTCGTTAAAGGCTTTGGTGGCATTGGGGCCATGCTTCGCTACAAAGTCAATTTCGAACAGCTTGCCGATTATGATGACGATGATGAATTCTATGACGGTATGTCAAGCTCCTAACCTCTGTCTCAGGTGGGCCAGCGCACTGACAGGGACTTTAAATCTAGATTGACGGTTTTGTGACCTCGCAGAGAGCGAGGATGAATGCCCAGAAGTCCCCAAGGTGGATGTTCTGACGGCTCGCCGCGTAGAACGCAAGAGCGGCGCCAATCAGAGCTTCAAGGCTACTTGCACGCCATCCAGAAGCCTTGGTACTCAGAGCTCCACGAAGCTTGTCCGAGGTTTGCCGCCTGTCTCGGTGATATTCAGGAATTTGGCAAGACGCTGACTGTCTGAAGGGCCATCCAAGCTCCGCATTGTGGATACTTGCACCGGCATCGCGTGAATAACCTGGACCCCTGTTTTCCAATTGCCTAGAGAATTGAAGAGGCTAGGGGATTGCTCGGTCATAACATGTTGGTGTCTGCATACAACTACCTATCTTATAGGGACGGACGAATCAGGTGACAGTTTGGGTTGCTGTTGTGAAGCAGTCACTATTTAGTGTATCGGCGCAGTTTCGTGCTTCTTATTTGTTCTGCTAGTCGCTCATTTTAGAAGAACATGAACCTCTGTTTCACTCTTTATCACTGATCACAATGGATTCTTATCTATTGTTCTCTTCTTATAGACATACAAAGTTTAGGCATGGTGCAGGAGCTCGGATCGAGACCCTACAGGCAATTTACACCAGAAAACAAGCTTTGAAGTGTCCTTGCACTTCGAATTTTAGATAATACCAACGAATAATTATCAAGGGATGCAAATTTAGCTGCTTTTTCTGGATACTATTTAGATGAGCACTCAACCTGTAAAGCCTCGTCCTAGGATGACGGGATAAGTCCGTCCTTCCAACTCCCCAGGTTTCTGCAAGCCTTTGAGATTTTGCTTAAATCCTCGAGTACTCGCTTCATGGAATCGGATGCGTGGGCACTTGGAACCTGTTCACATTCAACGAAGAATATATACTGCCAGGGGCGTATCAGGCTCGGTCTGGAATTGATGCTAGTCAGATTCATTCCGTGGGCCTTGAAGATTAACAGAGCATCTGCTAGCGCCCCTGGTGTCGAATGTTCGATCATGAAGGATATAAGGGTCTTGTATTTCGTGCACGGGCTGTCAGGTACTTCCTTCTCCATCGCGCCGCTTGCCAGGTGAGAAGACACATTGTCCGTCCGCTCCGAGCGGACATTCCTCAGAATGAGAAATCTCGTTGTATTGTCGGCTCTATCTTCGATGTTTGTTTCCAAGACCTCAGCCCCATGATACTCTGCCGCAAATTTGCTGGCAATTGCTGCGGTGTGACCGGACGTATCTTTCGAGACAATCTCCGCGGCCTTGGATGTTGAAGATACATCCTGCCTCTCGACACCTCTGAAATGGCTGGAAAGAAATGTTTCACATTGCCCCCAAGCCTGGGGATGCGTGTACAGCTTGGTTATAAACTGATAGTTGTTTCCACTTCCTGATAGAGTTGCATTCTTGTGCGCCAGAAGACAGTGGTGGACGGTCAGGAAATGTTCACCACAAACAGCTACATCGCTGTATAAGCCTTCTCTGTCGGCGAGAAGGTCTAGGGTTTGGACAACAGAGCCATTGGTCGAGTTTTCGAAGGGGATTACCGCATACTCAGCCTCGTTATTCTGAACGGCGGAGAACGCGTCGGCAAATGACAAGGAAGGCGAGAGCACCACCGAAGGACCAAAGGATTCTAGGGCTGCCTGATTCAATTGTCAGTGAATAGACTAGCATAAGAATAGACTCAATGATTTGGATTTCAAGCTTACGGACCTGATGCGAAAAGGAAGCTGCGGGGCCAAGGAAAGTAACACGAAGCCGTTCCATTTTCCCATAAAGACTGCTCCCTAAGGGGCACAAGACATGGACGCTATTGATACCTCTCGTATAATACGCCCCAGCATTCCATCAAGACGAGGATCGATGCAGATGAGAATTCTTTTGTGGGCGATGCTAACTATTATGCCCAACATGACTTCGGCATCTTCAATGTAGGACGGAAGCAAACATGACAAACATTCACTGTGCTGCTTGACAGAAAAGGATCAACGTAAGTGTTGGATTATGTCTATATTGGTAAGGTGTACATTTTCATCTACCAGGACCCAGTGATGCAAATGGCGGCAAGATTTCGCAACTCATTATGCCTTGGGAAATTTTCTACAGGCATATCGCTGGCTTTCAGCCGCACAATCTCATCATCTGTTCACAACCATTTACTTCATGATCTGACAGCGCGTCGTCTTCCTCTAACCTATGACTACCTGTCTCCGCAGCCATCTCATCTCTTGGACCTTTCTTTAATGGATATTCTTCCAGAGCTGCGGCCCCCATCATCGCCAGAGAATAGCCTCTCAATGACCCTTCCATCAATCTGTCAACCGCGCCGCATGGCAGTAGGTCATCACTTGATATATTTCCCACCCCAAGTCACATTATCGCAGTTACTGCCAGATGGCACAGACATTCTGCATTATCCCGGTGAACCTTTTAACCATCGCTTGTGGGCTGGTGGTAATATTAAGTTTCCACCAGAAGGGGGCCTTTTGCTGAACGGTCAACGTGCAGTCTGTGTTGAGGCCATCCGAGATGTGACGGTCAAGGGACAAGAAGGAGAGGAAAAGGTCTTTGTTAGCATTGAGAGACGCTTTGCACCTGTGGAAGAGGGGGAAGACGAGCAAGCTATCAGACGCAGGGTCCTTGAGAACAATGAAACCAATTCCGAGGGCAGCATTCTCACTGAACGAAGAGACCTAGTGTTCCTGCGAGAGCAGACATCGGAGAAACTTGAGTCTGGTGAAGTTCTCCATACAAGGAACAGTAGGCTTGTAAAACGTATGTACCATCGATCTACATTCGCTGAAGGTACTGACATGAATTTGTTCCCTGCCAAAGCACCCTCAAACCCCGAAATTAGCCGTAGGATAATACCTACAAAGGCCTTACTATTCCGTTACTCAGCCCTAACGTTCAATGCTCACTTGATTCATATCGACAAGGAATACACTCGTGATGTCGAAGGCCATCCAAATCTCCTTGTACATGGGCCCTTGTCTTTGACGCTTATGCTCACCGTCCTTTCATTCCACCTGGCCAGAATGGGACGGGTGATTAGAGAAATCGAATACAGGAACCTTGTTCCCCTTTACGTCGATGAGGAAATGAGGATATGCGCCAAAGCAAAAGACAGCCGTGGTGACGACTCCTGGGAAGTATGGATTGAAGGACCGAGCGGCGGACTCGCCGTCAGAGGCACAGTATGGACAGAAAATGCGCATTCATAGAGTTTCGTTCCCAAGAACAGGAGTTTTATGTGTCTGCAGTCACCCTTCACCCGTTGGGTACACGACTAGGCTTACACTGATGTGACGGTAGATATGATGAGGGGATATGAAATTCTTAGATGAGCTACTTTTACGAAATATTGTATTAGCTGTTGAATTGTATGATAAACTCGAAACAGTCACTATACTTACGAAGGAAACTCCCCTGTAGACTGTGAATACAAGGAAGATATCCAATTGATAGAATTTGATCTCTCACTATACTGTTACTACATAAGAGAGAAATTAATGACGGCCATCCGGCCTCAAAGACCATACTTACTATCCACTCTCGTAAACCCCTAACAGGTGATTGTTCCCAACCACTTGCTAGGATCCTTTGTCGGACTGATTAGGTTCTTTGACTTATCCCCTGATCCGTTTCACTCGTGGTATTCGCCTTGGTTTGATCACTTAGAGACCCGCGGATGGTCCTATCATTTTCAATGCAAGACCAGGAATGATGAACGTCTCAGCCTGAAAAGTTGCGGTGTGCGAGTTGCACCGACATTTCAGTGAGAAGCAGACTACTTGAGGCCGAACCGAAGCAGATCAAGAGAAACAATTAAATTAGCTGAAGCTCATATCAAACTATAAGGAACGAAAAGGTGGAAAACAGACAAGGGCCCGGAGAAACTTGAATTTCCGCGTTCCTCATGCAGTGCCCAGAAACGGATAGAAACAGACTAGCGGCGTTCAACGTCTCCCAGCTACTTATGGAGCCACAGTTTTTTTTTCTTTTCCTTCTTTTTCAATCCCTCGGGGTCACTGCCTGACACCCCAGCGCCCTGAAGAGAGCGCCAAAACATCACAACTTTCAAGGATTTATATTTGTCTTTGGTCAAAAATGGATGCTTTCTGGTCTGCTCCGCCAGTTTCCAGGTACGGGTGCCTGCTTTACTGTCTTGGAAAGCTGGATATCTGACAACAGCCATCGTGCAGGACTCTAACTGCACTGACTTTCGTTCAGTCTGCGCTAGTATACGGTGGCCTGCTTAGCGGTTATCGCATCATCTTCAGCCTGGATTCAATTCTGAAATTTCCTCCGGAACTATGGAGACTCGCTACTCCTTTTTTCCTCACAGGACCCCAACTCAACTTCCTGTTTGATCTGTACTTCAGTACGACTAGTTGATGCCTCCTGACTGAAGTCTTCACTAATTGAATGCAGTATATACCTATGCAAGCGCCCTAGAGACAGGCTCACCACGTTTCATCCTTCCAGGCGATTTTTTCGTCTATGTGCTCTTTGTGGGCACAGTGATTATGGTAAGTAGCAGCATTCGCTACGCCTCTTCCGCCACAAAAGCACATGCCATGTCTTCACATTACACATTCGAAGTGGATAAAAAGAGAAATAAAGAGTTTGCATGTGAGAGAGGAAACTACAATACAGTCATAAATACTACTCGCTGCTGTGTTCGCTGCATGCTATAAAGCATCCACCTCACATATCTGCCCGCCCAGCATCTCCTAGCTGAAGCGGTTCCTGGGAGTGAGGGAGATTACCCTTGCATCTCGTACAGCTCCTATCTATGTCAATCCTAGGAGTGTATGTGGTGCAAGAATGGTGGGTTATCCAATTGGGATTAGCCATGTGTGGGAAAACAATCTGCGCATGGTGGTTATGGTGCCCTACATTTAACATCTCATTACACGAATTTGTAGCTTTCCTTTCCCTGCACATCTTTGTGTTAAACACATACCGCTACTTGATACTGGATCAGTGTACTAACTCAACAAAGCTCACTGCAGGCTGTCTGCTTGGCAGGTTGATATTTACTTCTGCTTTAATTCTTGCCTTTATCTATACATGGGCACAAGACAACCGTGGCAGAAAAGTCATGTTTTTTGTAATCCAGATCCCGGCTGAGTGGTTACCTTTCGCTATGCTTGCTGTCACCTTGGTGATGCATGGATGGGGAAGTGTGATGAGTCAGGGCACGGGTATCCTTGCTGCGCATTTATATGACTTTCTAACACGTATCTATCCAACCTTTGGTGGTGGAAGAAATTACATCACCACACCTGCCTTTATTCAGAGGATATTCGATGGTCACCGTGCCACTTCTCGCACTTATGGCACAGCCTATCGCCCAGGACAACAGTCGACACAGGGCTCTTCAAGTGGTTGGAGCTCTTCTTTCGGAAGCTCATGGAGTAGTAGAGGTCCTGGCAGACGGTTGGGTGGCGACTGAAGCACAAAAGCAGTATGTAAATTTCTCAGAAATAGTGAATGAAAGAGATCGTCTCAGACGTAAATTCATCCAGAGTTAAAATCTCTTGCACTCAGTATATCTCTTGTTTTCGATTAAGTTATTATGTAAGTGTGGGCGATAAGTAGAAAGAAATAAACTCATACTATTCAGAATACAAATTTTCAAGCAACTCCGATAACTGTAGTTATTGTCTTAATGCTGTAACTTCTCAAATCGGACGTTGTATCATCTACTTTGTATGGTACCGAGGTGCCTAAGGCACATATGATTCTGCCTAAGAGGAAGACTAGCGTGCCACCTGGAGTAGTTAGAATTTTTGTACTAACCTGTTTTGTCGGGTCAAGCTCCATCCGCACTGCAAAATTTCCCTTTAATTTTTCCTCCAGCATCAACGACTTTCAACTGGCAGCGCATTCCCTGTTCGCGCCCTCTGCAGAACCAGTTGCACTGTCGTGCAGACTGTTCAAAATGGTGGCTTCCGCATCAAAAGAAGATGTCGATTTTAGCATCAAGCCTGAGGCGGTCACGCCCAGCATTCCCACCTCGGAGTGGCCGCTGCTGCTGAAGAATTACGATAAACGTGAGCATCTCGATGGATTGTCCCTATATTATGTATATCCGTCCTCCTAACTGAGCTTTAGTTCTTGTCAGAACTGGCCACTTCACTCCAATTCCGGCTGGTTGCTCCCCTCTCAAACGGGACCTGAAGTCGTACATCAGCTCTGGCGTGATTAACCTCGACAAACCAGCGAACCCGTCAAGCCATGAAGTTGTCGCTTGGTTGAAGAGAATCCTTAGGTATAGTTTCTTTTTTTACCCGCTTCCTTGGTTTACAGGCACACACGAGACTAACATTGCGGGTAGGGTTGAAAAAACTGGCCACAGTGGTACTCTTGACCCCAAAGTCACCGGTTGTCTGATTGTCTGCATCGATCGTGCAACTCGCCTTGTTAAGTCGCAGCAGGGTGCCGGAAAGGAATATGTCTGTGTCATTCGTCTCCATGATCGGCTCCCAGGTGGCGAGGCCCAGTTTGCGCGGGCCCTTGAGACACTGACTGGGGCTCTGTTCCAGCGTCCACCTCTGATCTCAGCTGTGAAGCGTCAGCTCCGTATCAGAACGATACATGAAAGCAAGCTTTATGAGTTTGACAATGACAGACACCTGGCTGTTTTCTGGGTCAGTTGCGAAGCAGGCACATATATTCGAACCCTTTGTGTCCATCTGGGCTTGCTTCTCGGTGTTGGAGCACACATGCAGGAGCTGAGACGTGTTCGCAGTGGAGCGATGGATGAGCAGGATGGGATGGTTACTCTTCATGACGTCCTAGATGCTCAGTGGATGTGGGACAATCAGCGTGACGATTCTTACCTGCGGAAAGTGATTCGTCCATTGGAGAGTCTGCTCACCACATACAAACGGATCGTTGTGAAAGACAGTGCTGTCAATGCTGTATGCTATGGCGCGAAGCTCATGATTCCTGGTCTGCTACGTTTTGGTAAGTCTAGGAGACTCGACCCTGATTCATGTCATGCTAATTCTCCGCAGAGGCCGGCATTGAAGTTGGTGAAGAGGTTGTGCTTATGACAACGAAGGGTGAAGCAATTGCTCTGGGGATTGCTCAAATGTCGACTGTCGAGCTCTCGACCTGCGATCATGGTGTGGTCGCCAAGGTCAAACGGTGCATTATGGAGCGCGATCTCTATCCTCGTAGGTGGGGATTGGGACCGGTGGCCCTTGAAAAGAAGAAACTGAAGTCTGAGGGCAAGCTAGATGTCAGTACTTCCTCACGTTAAAAAAGTTTAGCTTCTGCATAACGTTTGCTAACGTTTCTCTCCAGAAATACGGCCGACCTAACGAAGCTACTCCCGCCAAATGGAAGAATGAATACAAAGACTACAATGCTCCGCAAGAAGACACTGCCGCGCAACAGGTGGCGGAAACTACGTCCAAGGAAGAGGCCGTTCCTGCTCCGGCAGCTCCATCAAATGGTGCACCTTCTTCTCCACCATCTAAAATGGAGGTTGAAGAGCCCAAAGAGGACGACAAGAAGAAGCGCAAGCGACACGAAGGTGAAACCCCCGAGGAACGTGCCGAGCGCAAGCGCAAGAAGAAGGAGAAGAAGGAGAAGAAAGAGCGGCGCAAATCGAAACAAGACAAGGATGAGAGTGATGACAGTGACTAGGCAACTCAAGACAGTGTGGCGTCGGCCTTTCATCGTGACACGATATGATTCTGAGTTTTTGCTCCCATTCATGTTTTCCAATCGTTTTATCCATCTGAGTATTCTGTATCATATTTGCCTCTGGCTGGAGTCTTGGTTAAAAAGGGACGTTGTTATCTTCGTGGGACAATTATTTCAGCTTAGTTGCGAAAGGAAAAGTGGATGTACCCTCAAATATTCGAACTTTGCTTCCTGAAAAGGCAGTGCCCAACTAGTATAGTCCATTTTAAAATTAAAATAGTATAAAATTTACCATTCTTTGACTAGAAACATACATTAACTCCCTGGGTTGTACTCCGTGGACATAAAGTCACGTTTTTGCCATGCATGAATGTTGATGTCAGCAGCTGGCTGGAGGACTCCGGGTCTCCACATCATCCCCTCACACCTCCAGCTTCTCCTCACCCCTCGTCGCACCACCATCCCAGCTGTTGTGCAGTACAGTGACACGGGAAGAATATTTGGGCTGCTCATAATTTATTGGCATACCTGTTGAAGTGCGCCTTCTATTGTGTCGTATTATGGCTGCGGAACTCAGCTCAACAAAGCTTAATGCTGAGAGTCACCTTCTCTTAGTATGCCTTCCCTGCCTCGCCCCTGTTACAAGCATTCCCAGTCTAACTGCAATAATTAGGACCAACCACTCCTTCGTCTTCCTCATGAGCTGGCACGACGGAATTTCAAGACGGTACAGCGGGTTGTCGAGCGCGAGAAGGAATACATCCTACCAGAGCTTAAAAAGGTAGCCAATGGCTCCCTCACTGGAACCCAAACTACGGAGCAGACTCTCGCATCTCTTGATGCCATGATTCGCCGCATGCAAGGCTTGAAAAGGAAGATGGAGAGTCTACAGGAAGAGGAGAAAAAGATCCAGAGTCAGTCGAGGAAGCGTATTCAGCATCTACAGGATCTTTATAAGATACAGAGTTTGTCGGATGTGAAATACGACGAATGGTCGAGAACACGGCTAAATCGATTGCTGGTGGACCATATGCTCCGTTCTGGTTTCTCGGAAAGTGCGAAGCAGCTGGCACAAGAGAAAGGGATCGAGGATCTTGTGGACATCGATACCTTTGTTCAGTGTCAGCGGATCGCGGAGAGCCTGCGTCGTGGGGAGGCAAAAGAGGCGCTGCAATGGTGCGGGGAAAACAAAGCAGCTTTAAAGAAGAGCCAGGTATGGCGAAATCTCTCTTCTTGCTTTTATGAATACTGACGATAGTTGCTAATCGGCAAATAGCATAATTTGGAGTTCGAACTACGACTACAACAGTACATCGAGATGGTCAGGACGGGCCAGAGAGAGAAGTTGCTTGAAGCAATGCAACATGCAAAGAAATATCTATCGCCCCATATGGAAACCCAGGCTCAGGAAATCCACCGAGCTGCGGGTCTACTGGCTTTCTCCAAGGACACGGATGTAGAGCCTTACAAAGTAGGTCCAAGTGTCTTAGAGAATGACTTGAATGGGTCATTCGTCTCCTGGGAGACGACGTAACATATGCTAACGATGATCTAGTCCATGTATTCACCAGAACGCTGGAATTATCTGTCTGATCTTTTTGTTCGCACCCATCATGAACTTCTATCCCTACCGCCCCGCCCTCTTTTGCACATTGCCCTTTCCGCCGGCCTGTCTGCCCTCAAGACACCTTCCTGCCACTCGGCTTATGCTTCCTCGAGCTCGAATTCAATGTCAGCGACCACCTCGGTTTGCCCGATCTGCTCCACCGAGCTAAATGAGCTGGCCCGTAGCGTGCCGTACGCTCACCACACGAAGAGTTCGGTGGAGAGTGATCCAATGATTCTGCCAAACGGGAGAATCTATGGACGGGAGCGGCTATTAGAAATGAGCAGGAAGGCTGGATTGGAAGAAGGCAAGGTAAAAGATCCAACAACGGGCGAAGTGTTTGACGAGCGGGAGATAAAGAAGGTCTATATCATGTAGAGAACGGTCACTTGGGGTGTCTTTTTTTTTTGCAGCTCAAGGTTACAAATCTCGCATTATCATGACACTAATGGCCATAGTAAATAATATAATACACATTGATTAATCGTCATCGTCGCTGCTATCCTCTCTTGTTCTCTTTCTAGCTCCCATCAACGGATAATTATCTTCTCCCTTGACCTCAAACACATACGTTCTCGCCTCTCGATCCTCCCCTTTCCATCCGCCTCCCGTCCGACCGCTGCGACTTTCTACTACGCCAAGGGTCCGGGCGTGCGAGTAGCCTGGGTACGACTTCCAGGAGAAGCGGAAACTGGTGACGACCCGCAGGCCAGCATGACGCGCGAGATCTTTGATGTTCCATAGCGTGTAGGGTTCGCCCTCGAACAGAGTCACCAGGATTTGACCGCGTGTTTTTGGTATCGTCCGTGTTCTGCTTTTCTCCTTTGTTGTCTCCTCTGTTGTGTCGCTATCGCTGAGTTCCGACTCTGTATTATAGCGATCGGGATCCTTCTCCCCTTCGTCTGAGTCGGTGTATCGGTCATCGTTATCGTCATAATCATCGTCATCATCGGCCTCAGTTGGAACCGATGTCGACAGCAACGGAACACAGGCCTTGAAGAACGCCACGAGGAGTTCCTGGTTCGCACGGACCTGTCGATTCACGTCCGTGGAGAGTCCCCCGACATGCGGGAAATTGAAGCAGATGATATCCCATGGCCCTCCTTCTTCACCGTTACTACCGGTGGTAGTAGTGACTCCCCTATCATTACTATTCCCGCCACCCGCAGCAGCAGGATTCCTTTCTTTCTTCTTCTTCTTCTCCTTCCGATTCCGGAAATCCCCTGGCCTGGGAAACCCACGACGGACTTCCTTCCCGCCACCAGCAGCGGTGCCCAGTTTCCGGGCGTCAACCGAGAAGAGAACCTTGCGTCTGTAATTGCGACTTTTCTCACGGACGAGCTTTTTACTGTTGCTCGCGTCGTCATGGTCGTCACCATCATCTTTCTTTACATCTTCTGAAGATTTCGGTTGAGGATTCTCTTCTTCCTTCCCGGCCGGTTCATCTTCTTCCTCGACAGGACCTCCTTCCTTTTCGCTTTTGCTTTTGCCTTCGCCAGCGAAGGCGTCGAGAGACAGGAACTTGTTGATATTCTCCTCTGCCTGAGGGTACTTGGAATGAAGGACATCCTTGGAATCGTAGCATGTTGCAAGGATATATCTGCAGCGATGATGCTCTGCCAACGAGCGAGCGAATGAAAAGTCACCTGGGATGAGACAGTCAGTGCTCGAATTCGGACATACAACATCAGGCATGGAAAAAAAAGGGGAAGGGAGAGAGCGATAGATAAGAAATCCCAAGTGTATTTTTTTATAATAAATAGCATGCTTCAAAACAATCCAATTCTCACTTCCAACTATTATTAATGCGATATTTATGCATTATGCATGATGTAATTAATGAATTGACTTGGCTCAACTCGACTCGACTCGACTCACCTTCACCAATCAACAAAATCCGATCATTCCTCCCAAACGGAACGGTAGGAAGCATATGTTGCTGTTGTTGCTGATGTTTCCGCGGCTGTCCTCCCTCCTGAACCGCTTTGGTGTTCGTCGTCTTCTGTGATGACGAGGACGATGATATCGTCGTCGACAGTCTAGAGAAAGAGTGCATCTTCTTTTTCTTCTTGCTGTTTATGTCTTGATGGGTATGGATGGCGATGCCTTTCTTCTTTGATTTCGCCATTTTTCCTTTTCCTTTTTTTTCTTTTCTTTTTCACCTTTCCTTTCACCTTTCTTGTTTGTGATGATTTGATTGCACTTGATGTATTGATATCGTTGAGTTCATGTACATATAATTTGGAAAGGTGTGTGCAAAAATGAATACATCGTGTGTATGAATATCTTGTGATTGATTTTTAAGGTGTTTACCTAGCTAGATCCTAGGTTAGATTTTCTTGGGATATCCTCACCGCTTAGAAGGAACATAAAAAAAAATACAAATACACTATGACAGCCTTTCCATTAAATTACTTCTTTTAACTCGATTATTCTGCTCTCTATGTATTATTTTTCAGTTTTCCTTTTAAATAAACTCAGTCATATATATATACATGATCGAACTAGAGCCAACATAACATCCTCGTCTACCTGATAAAGTTCACCCATAAAACCAGCACCGAGCCGAAACAACAATCCAGAAAGAATCGCTTCCAGGCACTTTACGCCCGAATAAAACACATACAACAGTAGATAGATAAAGGAAGATGTGCGCCGCCATCGTCAAAAGGGTGTGCAAGACGAGGGCATGGAAGCGGATAACAAATAAGACAAAACATCCGCTTCTACTGGCCTCTATGGGTAGTAATAAAAGCCGTGTAGCGAAAATCCAGAAGTGTGGTTAAAATAAAAAAATGAGAAAGATCGATGGATTCGTGCAGACCAAAAGCACTGAATCCTATGGGACCCGCTCAACACCATACACTTCTTCGACACTCGTTCACGACCTCAGCGAGTCTCTCATACTCTGGCTACTCGCACTGACAGGGACAGGTGGGTTCGTGGTGGGCAGGATTCCAGTCTTGGGCTTGGCGTTTTGCTTGACCTTGGCGATTGCGTATACAACACCGCTAATAAATCCAACCACGATGGCGGAGACACTGGGAACGGTGACGGGAGCATCGAAGAAAATAAGGCCAGACAGCGCAATAGGGAGTTTGTTCAAGGCTCCCACCATAGAATAGGTCGTCGACGACGTAACACGGACACACCACGCGGAAGTATAGGAGATGAAGACGGACGACAGACCGGAGAGGACCATGGCCATGAAAATATTGGTGCGGTCGGCAGGGGGGAAATTCCGGTTGACGTTTTCGCTGGACCAGTCTTCGACAACGAGGCTAAAAACGATAAGGACAGGGATAGAAAGGAGGTTGTTGTAGAACATGGCTGAAGAATTTGTTAGAAAACAGGATGGTCTTTCAATGCCACGAGGCACTTACTATCGAAATCCTTGAAGTTCGTCAACTTGATCCGCTTCCGCATGCCGAGGACATATGACGAGGTGCAGAGACAGTTAATCAACATCCAGATATAACCGGCATTCAGAGTGGAGACCTTTGCGGTCGCATCAATGCTGGTCTCGACGGCATGTTTAATGTCGGCCCACGCTGCGATGATGGAACTGAGGACCATGAGACCAAAGGAGAAGAGGGTAAGGCCGGTGACCGAGCCCCCAAACCAAAGGACCTCGCCGTAGGCGATAAGAATAATGGTCAGGTTCTTGAAGATCGTATAGACAGGAATCGACAGATACTGAAGAGCCTTGGAACCGGTGTAGATCATGCCGATAAGAAGAAGCGTGATAGGGAACCCTAGACAGAGGAAAGACCAGGACGTTAGGAGCTGAAGAACGCGCCATTCAGACCGTTCAGGGACAACCAACATTTTTTGGCCTCATCCGAGCTGAAATCACGGAACGTTATAACACCGGCGGCCTTGCAGGTCTGAATTGCAACGACGCAAACAATGGACTGTAGTCGAGATTCGCAGTTAGCACTGGTATCGGCATTGCGACCCCTTTAGATCGATCGAGGAAACAACGCACCTGAACACAAAGCAAGAAAAAATTCAGGTTGAAGTCCAAGCCCGACAAAACATATTTGTTCATCACGGTCATCAAAATCGACGACCCACAGTAGGCGAGCACTGGGAGAATCGGATTGTTGGCCAGGGAGCTGCTGGAGAAACTGCTCCTAGGCGCAGGGACCGAGGCGGGCTCGAAATTCTTCGAGCCCTGATCCAGCTTGCTCATCTCAACGGTGTAGTCGTCCGTCTTCTTGCCTTCCGCCATTCTCGCGTAACTTTCAGCTCAGACTTCGCAGACTGCGGTGACGCGGCGAGTCGGGGTCACAGAAGGCGTCCGATACGGGGAGCGCGTCGACGAAATTGGCTCGCCGCAGAGAACGAGAAGACCAGCAAGCGGGAAGCAAGGAAGAGAAAACAAACGTGGAGAGAACAGCACGGTCTTTTAGAAAAGGGTTCCCGAGAAGCGAGGGAGGCCTTAGTAAGGAAAGATAAGAGGGAGGCGGGAAGAAGAGGAAGGGGAAAAACTAAGGAGCCCGAATGCGGCTGTGAAACGGGGCGAGCAGAATAACAATAGTTCAGGCCAACTGGAGATGGCCGATGTCACCACGCTCTCCCTGTCCCCATTCAGCGCTAGCGAGGCCAGAGGAAATAAATATTCCAGTTACAGTTAATTAATTCCAGGAATCAGGGGAGGCTGCAATCATGATCGTGATGGTAAATAAATAACAGGCGACCAAGCGCTCTGACATGCCCACGAATTGTCAGTATTCTCCATGTAATCCATCCTACGTCGAAACCTTTCATGCCTTGATGCAGGTTTCATTTGGTGTTTTCCTAATGATTTTGTTGGCCGATCCGCCGTCGATTGATTGATTACCATGTGGGATCTCCACACACCAGACTAGCAACTTCAACGCGACAGTAATCCTAATATACTATCACCGCCCGAACTCCCAATCCCCACGTTCTCTCTAAAATCCCATTTCTTCTCCTGTATATGAATAAAGAACGCATTCTATAGCTTGCCCAGGCCACAGTCATGTCATCCGTTTCGACGACACCGCTCGATCCCAAAGTCTCCGCGATCCTCGATCAGAAGAACCCGGCAGACAATCCAGACGACCTCGACGAGGACGCCCTCTTCGAGGCCCTCGAGAAAGAAGACGATTCCGCCTACCGCGCGCATCGGATCGAGCAGCTCCAAAGCGAACTAGCATCCGCGAAAGAAGCCCTCCTGCGCAATTCATCTTCTGGGACCAACCCCGCTCAGGCCTTGTATCCCACCCTCCCCGATGACCAGACCCTTCTGGATCTGACCACGAACTCTTCGCGGTGTGTGGTACACTTCTCGCATCCGGACTTTGCGCGCTGCAGTGTTATGGACGAGCATCTTCGGATACTGGCGTCGCGGCATTATGAGGTCCGATTTGCCCGTGTCGATGTGCGCAACTGTCCTTTTGTCGTCGAGAAGCTCAACATCCGCGTTCTGCCGTGCGTAATTGGGTTTATTGACGGCATCACCAAGGAGCGGATTGTAGGTTTCGAGGGTCTTGGTGGCGGCCAGCGAGATGGGGTCGACGGATTTCAAACATCAGAGTTAGAGAAGAGACTCTTAAGGAACGGCGTCCTTGTTAGAGAAAAGCTGAGCCATGGAGGTGGTGGAGGGCGGCATAACCAAAGTAGCGACAGTGAAGACGACAAGGAAAGAGGGCGAGGGATTCGCAGCGGAAATGCTAGGAATAAGAATACAAACAAGACTGACGATGATGACGATGAAGATGACTGGGACTGAGGAGAACTCAACAACTATAATGCAGCCGGAGCGTAGGATGGAAGTCTGGCATCCAGGATCATACATAAATGCGCAGCCTCAGCCGGCATCTATGGATAAGTCCTTGACATGTTGTGTCCCGAGAGGCAGTCCTGAAGATCAACATCTTTGGTACCTGAGATGCACAGCTGCATTGCACCTCCTAACGACTGTCCATTGTTCCTCGGGACAAAGAAAAGGAGATGTCTATTAGAGCCCTCAGTCAGAACGGCTGAGAATTCGCCAGACCCATTAGGACGGGATTTGTCAAATCAGTGAAAGCTGCCGGCCAGTGAGCCATCTTCGCTATTGATAGGAGAAAAAAAAGGAGCATACGGGCAGATCGAAAGATGTCCAGAAAAGAGTAATATTGTCATGATACACTTCTAGCATTTTTGTTATCTGTGTCCATAGGAAACAGGACCCATTCAGAAACAACACAACCAATGGCAGGAAATTGCGCAAGTTGCTTAAAACATAAACATGTTCCACTCAGAGACATCATGCATTCCTTGTTTGGCAATGTGCTTAAGGTGAAGTCAAATTACAGGTCATTAGAGCTTGTTTTACCACGAAGCTAAGCTCATAGCACTAAGTGCGATTTATTTGAATCGGAGAGGAAAAATGGACAGACTCCGATCACAAAACCTGGATAAATGAAATGCAAGAGTAACACACTGCATGATCGTACAGTTACAAGAGGTAGTCCATCTGACAGGCAGGAAGAGAGGGGACACATGAAAGGGAGAAAAAAAAGGGAAAAAAAAAGAAGTAGGAAAACACTGGAGGAATCATCGGAGAAGGGCCAGATGGAAAAAAAGAGTCCCCGTCGAAACGGCAGAAAAGGATATCGAGCGACCAAGCGGAAAATAAACAGACTCTATACATTAGAACCTCTCGTCGGTTCTCGATTAAAAGACTTAAACGCTGAGCCCCACAATAAACACCTGGAACCCCCCAAGACGACGGAAACGCAGAAAGAGAGCAGTCCAGTGGATCGGACAGAAACGTAGACGGCGATATTCAAATCGCCACTGTTTTCATCTCCCCCAAGTTCTCCGTATCCAGGCCCGTGGAAGACTCTAGCTTGGCTTCCTTCTCGACGACCTTTTCTGAAACGACTTCGTCCTGTTTGGGCTCCTGCTCCTGCTCCTGCTCCTGCTCTTTGACCTTGTCCTGGGTCTTTTCCTGGGACGAACTGTCGCCGTTATCTTTGCCTTGGGCATCGGATGTTGCCATTTCGAGAAGATCATCGCCCTGCGACGTCTTCTCCGGCTCCTTGGTCGCCGAATCTTGAGCCTTGTCATCTCCAGAAGATGTAGCATTAACGGGACTGGAAGCCTCTTCCGTCACGCGCGCAAGGGGACTAGATATCGCAAATGGCGTCTTGGGGCTCTGATTCGGTCCACGATTCGAGAAACGGTGAGGGGATCTTCCCCGTTCCTCACCGGGGGTCGGACTCCCGTACGGGGAATCACGGGCTTTCCCAGGACCGGTACTGAGACCCAAGCCGTTGGCAGGCTTCCGCCGCGGCGGTCGTCGACCGTATTTCTGATCCACTCTCCACCGCAGGATCTCCAGATAGGGAGGCTCCACGTTTTGATTTGGGAATTCCTTCAACTTGAGCTCGCCCGTTTCTTCATCCACGAAGACCTTGTTACTCGTGATGTCGTCCGCGACGATGGCGAGAAACGCCGCCCATGAGCGGGCGACCACGTACTTGCAGTCGTAGTCGCGTCCAAAGATGATAACCTGGCCCCATTTCCCAGTCGGTCCCGGAGCCAGATCGACGGCGATGTTGTTCCCACCCCAGTCACGCGCGAGAGGAATCCAACCGGGGTGTGCGTAGGCCTTCTGGACGGCGCCTGGAGGCTGCGAATCTTGTCGTTCAAGGAGCTCCTGTCTCCACATGGGGTTGGAGGCCTGGTGAGACGGCCCGGCCGATGATGACCCACTCTTCGACGGGGGTTGCGATGGGATATTGTTGAAAAACGACTCGTTGACGGTGCGCCAATTCTTCCATTCTTGAACAATCTCCTCGCAGTCGAGAAGCATGCAGCCGAAAATGATGCCGGTGGGCAGGCCGCCTCGCTCCTGGCCATCGTGGATCTGTAGGGACTCTCGCACCTCGAGAGGGAGGCTGCAATCCAGCTCGTGTTCTAGCTCGTTGACATCGTTCAGGGTACAGCCTTCTCCTAGCTGATCGTAAAGTTCCTCGTAGTTCTTCTCCGCCCAGCGGTCGATCTTGGCCCAAGAGTGAGAGACGGGGGGAGGCGGAGGAGCACCATCATGGAAACTTTGCATCTGGATCTCGCCCGGACCAGCTCCGTCCGGTGCAGATTGATCATTCGATCTTCGCTTTTGGGAGGTCAGGGATCTCATCCCGGGGGAATATGGTTGGGTCGGGGATCCAGGGCCGCCAGGAGAGCCAGGCCAGCCATTGGAGTTGGAACTCAAGGAGCCTTTGTGGTTCTCTTCTTCCTCAAAGGGGGTGGTCAGGTCCGGGTGAGATTCGGCGGCACTGGTGACAACGGAGGTCAGGGGAGCATGGCGACTCTGGCTGAGAGGCACATGTTGACCGGTGCGATAAGGGGAGTCGTGGGAGGCATGTCGGTCATTAGAGGTCATAGTATGCCAGAACGAGCGCCATGCCGAAGTGATACTGGGGACATGTCAGAAACGCGGCCCGGGGGGATGAGGGGGGAGGAAGCATGGAATACTCACGACGAGGTCACGGGAGGCATGGCGAAGGACTGATAGTTGGGAGGCCAGTGACTGATTGGAGTCCGCAGGCGGACTGTTCATGGAGGAGCTTGCTGAAGCAGGAAAACAGACACGCAAGTCACCCGTCACCCGTCACCCAAGTCGTCAACGGTACGGCGGTCAGCAACAGGGGCAGAGGGCAGAATGACAGTCCCGAGGGTGAGACGGGGCAGAAAAGGCAGAGGCTGAAGGGCAAAGGAAGAAGAAGGAGGCCAGCAGGATGTGGCTGATGGGGGCAGACTGGCAGAAGAAGGCAGAATGACGCTGTAGAAGAGCAGACAAGGAGCAACAAAAGACGGGCCAGCGTTTTTCTGCGTTCTTCGGCGTCTCCTGGGCTGTCTGGGCTCAGGATGGAGCATGCGGGCGCCTGTGATTCGCGTGTTGGCGTGCTGGGAAGGCGCCCACCGCCGTAGTTGGGGTTAACGAGGCCGCCCTCCTATCACCGTGCCGCCCGTGGGCCGCCGCGCGCCCCAGCCCAGGCCAGGTCGCCGTGGACGGGCCCGGCATTAATTGCAACCAGGAGACGCCTCTGTCGCTGAGGGTAGCATGCTCTTGGTCTCCTGCAAGTCCAGGCACTTAGGCTGGCTGGAAGACGTGTCTGGCATCCAGCTACAGCAGTATGAGTGACAGTATTGACAGACAGCTTCCCACAGCCAGACAAACGCTCGCATTGGTCACTGTCATCTTGCAGCTTGGCATATAAGGCACATCTGGCACCCCACCTGGGCCAATGACATTCTGTCTCTCGTGACCAAGCGTGAAACAAGCAATGATATTCTGAAAGGGGCCACAAGTTGCTTTTTGTGTGGTTATCTGATAGCACATATACAACCTCCACGTTTCATTGCTCCAAATCATGATCTATCCTCAATGAAGCTTTCAGGGGAAAATGGGGAAAAAAAACAAGATCAGCTATAACCACCCTTTGTAACATTGAAAAGGGTTGCCTTTGAAATACTCCTGACTTGTCGATCCGCTGTTTTGTGCTGTCAAGTTCAGCATAAAGTGCTTACAACTAGTCGATCATCAGGGGTCTAGCCCGCACACTATCTGGGTCGTTTCATACAAAGACGTTGCCCTTCAATTACCGTTCTGTGACTAAGCATCTGCTAAACCCTTCTGCTCCTGCTGGTTCACCCACCTATATGCACTAGAATGTTTCTAAGGCTTCTAATTGTACTCTGTACGGAGTAGTCTTCCCGGGTTCCTGCAGGCTCAAAAGAGCCGCCTTTAATTTTTTTCCCCCCATGCATTTTTTTTCCCCTACAGAGTATAATATCCAAAGCCAGAATAGTCAACAGACCGGATGTAACTCTGTTACTTTTTATAAATCCTTAATGGTAGCATGCTATGTAATCATAAAGAGGGGAAAATGCCGTTATATGGCCCCAAGAGTTCATCAGTATACGTATATGTAGTGTTAATTCAAGTAATAATATGCTTATTAATAACCCTATGCAATAGGTAGACTATATAGAAAAGCCTATGTACGAGGCCAGTATTCTTAAGCCCAGACATTCCTTCCCCTTCAAGCCTAGACGAGCAAAGCAAGTCGTTCAAGGCTGGTGCTCCCTCATGCTCCCTCAATGCTCTCTTGGTGCTTGCCTTAGTCTCCTTCTCACGAGGCTCCCGTCCAAGAACGGAAATGGCATTTAGTGCGCTTCATTTTTTTTCCCGACAACTACGGAGTACGGTGTATACGGAGTAGAGGTAGTTGTCTGAGGAAATGGTCCTTGCCCTGCGCTAACTTGGGCATTGAATCAAAACCCACACCTGACCCTTAATCCGTGAAACACCATTGTACGGACTATTTCAGGACCCAAACGTAATTAGTACAGTTAAGTGGTATTCTACGAAGTACTCCGTACATAGCTTCACACTGTACCCCTTTTTATCCCATGTAGATCTCAGAGAGTGCTTGCTGAGTTTTCTCGGTAGCATTCATACTACGGGAACCCAGGTCCTGTACAGTACTACAATACCCCGTAGTTGTGTGCAGATTCGGAACGATCGTTTACTTCGCAGCTGATGGGGAACACTCATCTACAGGTTGGAGGCCATGTGTAAAGAGTGGAAACAGTTGGTATTGTCTAACTAGGGATTCAACTCCGGTGAGTTGAATCGCCGTGTCCGTCGCGCCAGTTGCACAAACGGGGACGAAAAAAGCAGGGCCTGAAAGCGTCGTCAAAGCCGGTGAAATGATCCCACTGAGGAATATAGAAGAGTCCCTAAGCCGAGGCATCAGAACATCCATCATGAATCGCCGAACCCGAACAAGGCTTCGAACACCCCAGACTCCAGGCTAGATGCAAGAAGAAAGACGCCTAAGAAAGCCTGACAGAGATCCGATCCAAGCATTCACCGAGACATATAGAAAATCCCCCCAACCGAAAGAGACCCACAAACCAGAGACCCCTTGCCCGGAAAATCATCCGATGACCATGCAAATCTAACACCGGAAGAACGACCCGGACCAGGAAGAAGCAGAGATACCACGGAAATCAACGCACAAAGGGAAAGAAGCGAGAGCAAAGAAAGAAAAAAAAAGATGAGAAATCGCAAAGAACTCCCCAGTTCAGCCAATCAAGAAAGATCAGCCGCAATCTTCAAGAGACGCTAGATATGATAATATCCAAGCTCATCCGGAAAAAAAAAGACATAGACTGCATATGTGCGACGAAATGACGACGTGATGAGCATCATGCGAGAGAGCTTTGCACTCCGCTTTGCACTCCACTTTGGACTCCGTTTGGATGAATGCCGTTGGAAATATCGAGTTTGAGAATTCGCCTCAGATCGTCTTCCATTTTCTTGATATCTAGCTCTGTAGCACGGGGGGAAGATGACCCCGGAAGGTCCACCCGCTGAGGAGTCGGCGAGTAATAGGCGGGTTGAGAGGAGTAGCCTTGGTAGGATGCTGAGGCGGATGACACGCGGGGAGTATGATACGGTCCCCCTACGTCAACGGTATCGACACTGGACGGCAAAACCTCTTGTCGCAAAGCAGATGATGGAGTGCGGAATTGACGGGGATCACTGGCAACAGGAGACCCGTATTGATAGGTTGGTGTCTTCCCCCCGCCGTGGAACATATCTTGTTGACATGGAGTCGGTGGCCCGGAAGACGTGCGCAAGGGGACGTTGTTGTATTGATGTCCGACAGCACGAACGTTCGAGTCATTGAATTGATTTCGGGTGTGAGGAGAGACAGACGAAGGACGTTGGGGACGGGGATTGAGAAGAAGGTTCTTCAGTGCCTCAGTCTTCGCCTTTCGCTGATCCTCGTCAAGGTCCACCTTCGGTTGCGATGGACTGCTGGCTGACCGGAGCGCATTCATCCGGTCCTTATATGGTGTAGCAAATGCTGGCCCAATGGGCATCATGCGCCTTTCGGGCTCTTCGAGCTCAAGAGGGAAAATTCCGTTGGCAGAGCTCTCTGGTCGGCGATAAGCCTGATAGGCTTTTGAGTCCGTACTTGGAGAACTCATCTTCTGTGAAGTTTCCGGACTTTGTTGCAATTTATCTCTGGCATTAATGGCAGCTTTGAAGAGGAAGTCTAATGGCGACGGTTCATGTTCTTTGTCGACATGGGATCCTCCAGCTCTCGGCTTCGAGGGCGTGTTCTCGGTGCCAGGCTCGCTGTCCATCCCGTTCTCAAGTTCCAACCCCGAAGACAGGCCGGAATCGGGTACAGATTTAGAGAAGAAGCTTGGTATTGGCAGAGCTGACGGGGCGGGAGAAGCATGGAAGGTCGGTCCTGCATAGTGTGGACTGTCCTTCTGCTGAGGAGAAGCTATGTTCGGCTGTGAAGATGTATGACGATGGTTGGAAGCATGGTTATTATGAGGCGGGATTTCTTTGCTGAGCGTATATTGTTCTTCTTTCGAGACGCTCCCGTAGCGCCATTGTCCTCAGCGGCCGGATCTCCAGGACTCGAGCTTCGGGGAGGTGATGACGGAGGTGTTGCCAGCAGAGCGGCCTTTGCTTGTGAATGAGGACTGACGTTCTTCTTGTGCTGACGTTTAGGGTTCCGTGGACCCTTTGGCGTTTGGGGTGCTTGAGTCGACATTGCGACAGATAGGCTTAAAAAATAGGCAGCCTTGGAACAGATAGGAAAAAGGAGAGATAACAACAAATGGAGCAGTAGAGAACAATACTATAGTCAAGAGAATCACGATACCGCCCAGCGGCCAGCTCTTAAGACCTTCAACAGGGAGAAGCAAGGGGTCGGGCTGGAGCTAGGATGTGCGAATGGCGGCGGCAATGGGGCTAGGTTGTGTCGTAGGAGGTAACAGAGAATCGCAGGGCCTGGCGGACAACAGCAGAGTTTCTCGAACGGCAGAAGAGGAAGGAGGAAGGAAGGCCAAGGATCTCACGAGCGTATTCATCTCTGGATCGAAGATAGGTCGCGCATGAGGGAGAAGGTAAAGATTGACTGGCGTTGGGATGGGAGTCGAAGAGAGCAACAACTGGCAGCCTTGCGCTGGGCCGCCGACGGACAGGCCAGTGGTCAGTGGTCAGTGGACGCTGGCGGGGTGTGAGCCTTGCCACACGGGAACCAGCCACAAGCCACCGCCCGGGCTGATAACCGTCCCTCCGCGAAGTTGCACGAGAAGCAACAGAACGAAGTGCCAGCGATCTGTCACTGAAGTCTGGATCGTGATGCAGGATAGCCAGGTGATGTGGATCGCAATCCCCACAGCCTGACCTGTTGTTTCCTTCAAGGTTCGCAGATCGTTATCGTGCTTGGGCTCCATCTGTTATCTATCAGTCAGATACTGATGTCAGTAGGCTTCACCGCAGCTCTAGCCGCCAACCCCAATCCTCTCCCCTCATTCTTTACCACCATCTGACCCCTGCTCGTCCCACTCGTACATCCGCTTAGCTGCGACGAAGACAAAAATATCTCGAAGATGGCGGACGTAGAGATGAAAGATGCCTCCTCTGGGGTGTCGAGCAAAGAGAAGGCACCCAAGGCAGCGAAGTCTGGAGCTTCCGAAGGCACTGAGGGGAAAAAGCGTTTCGAGGTCAAGAAAGTGCGTCTTATCAGCTCGGTCAGGAAATGATATACCGGTGACTGATTATTTTTTTTAGTGGAACGCTGTCGCATTGTGGGCGTGGGATATCGTCGTTGACAACTGTGCCATCTGCCGCAACCACATCATGGATCTCTGTACGTCTCTACGAATACTAGAGTGACGGTCAAGCTAGGTCTAATTTAATACAGGCATCGAATGTCAAGCGAATCAGGGCTCGTCTACTACAGAGGAATGCACCGTTGCTTGGGGTATTTGCAACGTGAGTTGACGGTGGCCGGCTCTTTCTGTGTTATAAATGCTAACGGAAATTATGGCTCGATTAGCACGCCTTCCATTTCCACTGCATCTCGAGATGGTTGAAGACCAGACAAGTCTGTCCTCTGGACAACCGAGACTGGGAGTTTCAGAAATATGGTCGGTAGATGTTGGTTGTCGGGAGGTTGCAAGACAAAAATGCTGGCCGCTATGTGCAGCAAAATGACAGACAGCATGAACTCGGGGATCCAGTTCACGCATACTTTTACACCCATGATGAGATGACTTCGGGGGACTTCAAGTGAAGCAAGGCAGGGCTAGTTCACAACGGCGTTAGAGCAGTATTCAGGCCATGCCAAGGTTCCATTGCACGACAACAGAGATAGAAAAAGAACCCAGATACGATTTCATTTCAATAGCTCACAGTATTCCGCGGTCAATAGTCAGGAATAAAATTTATATTTTGGTAGCCATCCGCTCAAACCATCCGCATATTTGCCGCTACCCGACTTTGACCCCGTCCACTACTATGTCTGGCACACCACCACTCCTTCCACCGGTCGCTGGGTTGAACCATTTCTCTGGGCTCTTATTATAAATAGGCCATGGAGGAACCACGACCAAGGCAGTGAGGAGTGCGCCCGCTAGCCCGATCCATAGCGTCAAGTAGATGTCTTGTTGAAGAAACCCAACGGCGAACGCAACAACCTAGCCGGAATCAAATAAATCAGCGACACCCTTTTCAGGAAGATCACCACAGCAGAGATCGCATACACCAGACAAGATCAGGAGAAGGGTGGAGAGGGTCTCGGCGAGGCGCTGGCCATGAAAGTCCTAAAATAACGAAAGTGGCCAGGTCAGCATTGCGCAAGGAGCGGATCAATTGAGTTTACTTTGTATGAGGAGGAAGCGCGAAGTAATACTTACTATCTGACCTTCAAGAGCATCTTGAAGAGGTGCCAGGAGATTATCCATGGTGAATGACTGTTGTCTCTGTTATCGAGGGGGTTCGTAGCTTGTCAGTCGAGTGGCCAAGTTGCTCCGGATTGGCATCTTGCCTAGTTAGTCAAAGCTAAGCAATGCGGGACGGAGAAGGCGGAGCCGCCGAGGCAGATCGTTAGATATATTGTCAATGCTTCATACGGAGTAAATTCATAGCTACGATCTTTGGCCTCATTCTTCTAAGAATAAATCAATCGAGTCTTCAAGCAGAACAAAGAGCCTGTCTAGTCAGTTATTGAGCAAGAGGACTGGTATATCCTCATCTTTTTTTTATTTACTCTCTTTGTCTATTGCTGCACCAGCCTTATTCACTAGGAGCTTGCTTGCTTTCAAAATTATTCGTTGTATGTAACTTCAAAGCGCAAAGTCGCCATAACTAAATATAGGAAGGTATCGAACATTTATCGGGGCTCATGTTCGTTGATTTTCTTCTATACTCTGAGCTGTCTGGAGATTCCACTGCGCCTTGTTCTGTCAAGGCTTTCTTTTACTTTTGCAGAAATATATACAGTACTGGACATGCCTGCTAGCCAGAATTTTCCTTTGCTGCAGCAGGTCCTTCGACCTGTTTGTGGAGGCGCCATTGGAAAAAAAAAGAACACAGGTCATTGATCTTATTTCCAGAAAGAAAATCAAGGAAGCACAGATGCTCAACTGCTTGGCCATGAGGCACACCCTGTGGGTTCTATTTACGATTCACTGAAAGAAGATTGTCAGTCACTACTCATGTTACTCTTGCTTTGTCCTATTAACTTGGATGAGAGTATAAAGGATCCCATCTCTCTCTATATATGGTGTGTGCCACCGTCAATTGGTGTCATTGTCCATCTTTTATCTTAAAAAGGTCAACTCTTTGTCTTCTTGTCATCAATAATGGTTATTATTCCAACAGTATATATAGAAATCATGTCTGTCTCCAACAGCCATTGTTCTCTGCTATATATCAACAGTTGTCTTTCTGCAAGCACCTCCATAGAGCTGCTTTCATATCAAAGATCAACTGGTTTCGCTCTATCTGTTATTGCTCCTGTTTATTTACTCAGAACAGTTTGATTCCTACTGGACCCTTACTCTTTATAACATTCTTAATCAAATGACGCCGGTTAAGAAAGCGAAAGAGGAGCAGCTCGAGGAGACACAACACACTGCGAACCAGCCACATCCTGGGCTTGTTCATTCTGCTCCAAACTATGAGGTTCTCCAGCATGACTCGCATGAGGATGAAAAAGAAAATGAAAAGCAACGGGGCAGAGACACACAGAGTCTGTCTCACGAACCGAATATAAAACCGGAGACAGTCTCCCCAACGACAGAGGAAGTAGACCTCACAAAGAGTCTATCTCCCGATTCTGAAATCGGGATCACTGCTATTCAGACAGTACAGCAGCCTACAAGACAGAAGAGGGACAAGGTTGATTCGAGAGCACCTATCGCAAGCATCGAAATACCATCGAATGAGTCAGATGAGCAACCACATCTATCAATCCCACCCCTAGACCAACCTGAAGAGAAAGATGCCAACCAAGAGGACTTGGATGATACTCCGGAACGAGATTTATGGGACGTGCCTAGCTATCATGGGAGTAGTCCTAATGAAGGGTCTGATGGGAACGAGGTCGGCAACCCAACCGATACTACCGAAGCACATCCTGCGCCTCATATAGAGACGCAGACGCAGACGCAGACACAGACACAGACACAAACACAGAAGCAGCGACGACGACGGAGGAGATACGCAAACGTTTAACCGACAAGGCGGAGTAGGCGTCTCAGAGGTGAACCACCGGAGTTCTTAGGTCTGGAGCCAGTGCGGAGAAAGCGGCGGTCAAGGAAATAGACAGAGTCGAGAACAGTGTTTGTATCCTGTGATTTATTTCCCGAATTCGGAAAACGCTTATCCAAGTTGAATAGATGTGACCAGAGAATTGTTTGAGAGAAGGTGATTGGGAAAGGAAGCGAGGAAGAGGAAAGACGAGGCTTTCTTTCTTTCTTTTTTTTTTCACAGTCATGAGTATCTGTATGTAGTATATTCATTCCTTGACGTGATATTAGCCAAGCTGCCAAGTTTACTTTTCAGAACAGTCATCAGTCAATAACCCAGCTTGAATCCTTCCTTTCAGCCAAAAAGAAAGAGAGAGGTAGTATCTACCTCGACCAGTACAGTTCAATACAGCGGAGAAAGAACCGAATCTCATTCACAACATTGAGGTGATATCATTGAGAATTCCCTCTGACTTTTACAAACAATTGAGAAAAAAAAAATTGCCTTTTGAACGTCCATTATGTCAGGCCATGTCAAAACCTGTCTTGTCTTGTTTCGTCTTGAATGGTTTTTACTGAAAGAAAAAAAAATAACTCTTGTTCCTTCCCTGACCACTAATATATGCCATATTCGGTCAATAGGATCTACTCGAGTTAGGTATTGTAATGTACATACAGATAAGTAGATGGATAGATAGATAGATACTCTGCATTGTTGAATGGAATGTATCCATTCAATTCCATTCTTCAGACTTAATCTACTCTCTCTTTCCCCTCCTTTAATGATATTGTACTCCCAGTCTTAATATCGTCTGTCTTGTCTCTGCATACCGTCGAGATATGCATGCGTGTGTACTGTATGTACATATATCTTGAAATAAACTAGGTATAGGTATATCTATAGGTAGTAGTACTTGTACTTGGAAGCTGAGATTCCTCCTCCTCTTCTACTTCTTTTTTGACTGATATCGACATGAGCAGTTAGGTTATGAAAAGGGAACAAACAGCGATTTTAGATAGATCATAGCGAACAATTAAAAAAAAACTAATTACTGATATCAAGTATCAAACAGCCCAATTAAAAGTGAGGACAGATAGCATTTGCTTGGTAATAATAGCGCACAGAAATCAAATAATTGATATCATATCATGAATTGTTGTACTGTACAGTGCTGAAGGCTTCAATACACAATACTCAATATTCAAATTGTCTACCTACAGTACATACAATTACTTCTACCAGCAACTGACGACCAGTCGATGATATCCCAGTCATTGATCATCAGCCGTGCAGTACAGTACTAGCAGTCTCTAGGCAGCTCAAAGAAGGTAATATATCAACAAGAACTGGAATACAAAAAAAAAACGCTGTTGACTAGCACCCACCACTGCTTTCACTATTTACTATGTAGAGGTAGGCGATCTGATTTCCTGGGGCCGTTACTGTCTGTCAAACCAAGAACGAAGAAGCATTGTCGACGATGACCATGCTGAACATGATCATCTAGATCCACATGACAGCGTCATGAATCAACCCTACTCCGCGATCCTTCTACAGGCTCCATCGGTTGGTTACCTATTGTTATTTGTATTTATTGTTATCGATATCAATCCCACCCCCGCTAGTTAGTTCATTAGTGTGATCCATCAAGAATCCTGCAGAGCTCTTTGTTTTTTTGACATGAGAAATAATAGTCAAATACCGACTTCGGCCCCAGTTTGTTGGTTCCACACCAACTAATCAATAATCCATAGTTCAAGTCTTTTCACTTGATCCTGTTGCAAGTGTGTGGATGAAGTGCTAAAAATGGGGGACATCTGACAGCATGCAAGCATGCAGGCAGAGATGCAAGCTGCAGCGAATGAACAAGATCCATTATTGTGAATAGTAATAGGCATTCCTCCTGTTGATCTGCTTGTTAGTTTTTCGATAGCGGCGGGTGGTTGGTCTGTGTGGCTTACACTTCGAGCCTCCCTTCAACGGTTGGGGGCCATTTTCCTTTGTTTTTCTGGGGGATCTTCATGTCATGCGGGAGAAGCACACGTTTTTACGTCTACGTTTTTTATTTTATTTTATTTTATTGGCGAATTAAATCGAGTCGAACTATCATAGACTATGTACGGACTGCAGACTACAAACTACAGAGTACATGGTGTCAAGCGTCAATCGATTAGTCACTCACACTAAAATATGGGAATCATGATCTAACTACGATGGAGATAAAATAGTCAAGTAATAGTCATCTGACCGTTTCCGATAGCATGACATAGCACAGGCCATAGCATAGCATTATCTGCAGTCTAGTATCTGCCACTGCTGAAGTCTGAAGAAATGGAAAAGGACAGAATCTTTTTTTTCCCCATGCAGAATTCCTATGAACCTAGTCTGCACAGTAGTTCAGGTAGGTTCAGAACTTCAAGTACTGAGTACATATGTAGGGGCCAAAAGAGGCCAAAAAAATATACCAAGAATAGAAATTTGGGGGTATAATGCGTATACTGCATGCAGCCTGCAGGAAGTCGATTATTATCTTAGGTCAGCATTGCAGAACAGAATAAGCTTGGCGAATGAAAATCGAGCTCAACTTATTCATAACAATTCCACACTAATGACTCGTATAGAGTGAGTTATTTTATATGGAGGTGTATGTGATGTACAGTACATGACAGATGTCAAAATCACGGCCCCCTCACTCCCCACCGGGCCACTCTACCCACTTCGGTGGAGTGAGTGATATCATCTGAGAATTAAGCTACTCATTACTGCACCATCAGTATAGGAAGCGTCAACGACTAGGAGATAGCTAGATATCGAAGACACGAGCATCCTGATGGACCCAGACCAAGACTCAGACCCAGACTACGCTGTTATCAGTGGCGACTGCCATCACACCATCACTTACTTGCAGACTGAGGGATTTATTCAATAGCGAATTAATAGGTAGAGTTTCGAGAGGGATTTTCTAAATTTACTTCCTGAAAAGGAAATTGGTTGCTGACGCTGACGATGGCAAAAGCAGGCAGTAGATGATCTTGAAGGATGCAGGATAATGATGTCATTCATGAATTTCAAAATCCTTTCTTACTACTTAAATGCACGTATAGTACGCACGGAGTATTCCATTCCTAGATCTGGACTTGATAACAATCAGGACAATTATTAGGTTTGTTGGATGTACAGTACTAGACCTAGGCCAAGAGGTTGCTGTCTTGCAGCCCTACGTTAGAAGGGAAAAAAAAAGAAACAAAATATATGTTGCTTCTCCACTATAAATGCCGAAACGTGGATGGTAGATCGGCAATTAGCAACTGGTTAAACTTGTGGCTGGGAACTATTTGAGTGGCACGACTCCATCTGTACTCGGCACTTGGTCAGTTAGAAGTAGGGTGTGGGGGAATGAGGTATTCATGGCCCCAGGGCCAGAAACATATACCATCTACTGGTTGGGTCATCGATCGATTCAACTGGGTGATGGTAACTAGGATCTTCCAAGACTTGCTACTGGAGTTTCGTGAGGGAAAGGACGCTCGTACGTTTTAACTATCTTGGCATAGAGAGCGTTAACCACAGCGTATACGGGGGACTCTGCAGAGTACTGTACAGAGTAATCTGTACGGAGTACGGAGTACTCTGTGCAGTAATTGCTGTTCCAGACATAGTTCAAGTTGTTCAACTTCTGGCGGACTCGGAGCCACGCCCACATCGGCGACTCGGCGAGTATCCACAGGGCCGGTTAGCTAGTTGATGTTCGCCAGTGCCAAACACCAAAAAAGACAAGAACCCGACGATCTTGTTCTCGAACCCGAAACGTGGAGAGCCGAAGCGTGAACGCCAATGGCGTCGGAGCACGCTCGATGACTAACACCATGTGGTGGACTGCTGCCTCTACGGAGTATGAAGAAACTGGACGATCATTCTTTCGACTTGTTCATCCTGTCCTGGGCCGATCTTAGCAGTCAACAGAAGAGTCCAGCATTAAGCTACTCCTTATGTGAGGCCAACATCGAGCGTGACAATATACTCCGTATATCGGGCTACGGATCCCCAGAGATATTGTTTACTAGAAGTAGAGTACTCTGGGTTCCCGAAATTGCGATCTGAAGATTCTGCCCCTGGCATATTTCCGCGGGGAATCACGGCTCCTGCATTAATTCGTTGTCACGTTCTGACTGCCGATCCGTGGTGCTGGGCCGTATTAAAACGCAGTAAACGCGCAGTGTCCTTCTCACCGGGATGGGGGCCATGCAACCCATGCATGTTCCATCAGGACGCTGCGGTCTGCCGTCCTGTCCGTGCTGCGATGGCTTGCAATCCCCGGACTGACGAGGATTACTCTAGGAACACGCCGATGATAAAGGGTCCACCGATTATTCTCTCTGCAGAATTCATACGTCGGGATGCTCTGTGGTCTGTGTGCTGTAGATACTGGGTAACCGATCCCTGAAGACAGCAATCATGCAAACAAGCGAAGATCCGGAAGACGAACACGAGATCGAACGATCCTGTGGATCTAGTTGGAATCTGCACCCTAACCGCTGTAGGGGTGTTGATTGTCCTCGCGGATTGCCGCTCGTTAGTGTACGGAGGAGGGCGCCAAAAGAAACTGCACACGCTAAAAAATAGGGTAATTATTTCTGTATTTGCATTGTAATTTTAGATCCAATATAGGTATTATGCTAGGCCGTATTTGGTAGTGGCGTATTCTTATTACATGTCTGTTACTAATCTTATTGGCTATCTTGTCTCACCGCCTAGTACTGAATACACTAGCTGAATGATTACTAATACTATCTGCCAATAATCATAAGAATAAAATTCAACTAATTAGTAAGCAATAACGCAAGTATTTCCATGAATATTACCGCTAGTTATTAGCGTGTGCGGTTTCTTTTGGCGCCCTCCTCTGTAATGTGTGTACAGTCCTGCGTGCAGACCTCAGGGACCGTACCGGAGTGACCAAACACCTGCCTGTTTGGGCCCGAAATGACGGGCCAATGGCAAACCCTATTGGACGGGACTGGACCTCAGATCCCCTGCAAAGCCCGTCATCGAGTTTTCTGTGGCACTGGCGGGCGTGAACAGCAAGGATCGGCAGAAGACGAGAACAGGTTCCTTGCACGTGCACTGTGAAGTCGGGGCATTGACTGGTCTGTTGGGGTAGGCAAACGGACTGGGGACTCTGTCAGAGGACTGCGTATTCTGTGCGTTATGATTATTGCCGCGTAGAAGCGATCGAACGTGCGGTTAAGCACGCTCAGTCCGCCAAGCAACGCCAAGCGCTGGCTGCGCTGCATGGAACGGTTCGAATCGTGGTCAATCTGGCGATCTGACTTCCACGGTTGCGTTGGAGTCGGCCCGCTAAGATGAATCAATGACAATGCAGAACGAGGACGTCGCAGAGGGAGCCAATCGTTTGCACCCAAAGTGCCGAACGACAGCGTGTTTCAGGAACAGGATCGGAGGAAATGGATTCCATTTCAGCCTGTCACGGTGTGCCCGGGGTCTCGGGGACCATATCCATTGTAAGTTGGTCAGAACTCAGAACAGGCAGGGGATTGGACACTCGGCAAGAGGCCCCGGGACGGCCTGGAGAAGGAAGGAACGCCTGCCACGTGCAAGGGCAATGCCACCATGATCAAATATCCATGGAAAGAACGTTTCTCGGATGGAAGCGGGCGCGCCTTCCTCGTGTGTTCGCGCTGATCGCCATCATCCTGCCCAGGTAATCCAAATGGCGAACTGCCTACCTAGGCAGGTACCCGCCTCGATCACGCCTTCCCCCGTCTCTGGATTAGCACGATCGATGGATCTGGATGAGGGAGCGTTTCTGCCGGTAAACTGCGTATCTTCATCCTGATCCTGAGTCGCTAACCTGCCGATCCTACGTAGATAGCTTATACGAACGACCATGTAAGGCGGAGAGCAACTTCGCGCGGAAGGATTGCGGCATTAGATCGGTAGTACTTCTCTACGAAGATCGAGTACGGAGCAGTCTGTACCTACCAAGGTAGGTAAGCCTGCAACCAGACCCCCGCAGGGCGACCGGTGGAGATAAACCTTTCTGCTGCGGCAAGGAGCGCTTGATGCGCCTCTTGACGTACAGATTCCTTCGTCCGGAGTCCCTGCAGGAAGTTGCGTTCCACTGTTTCTTCCCACCCCACGCTCCGCTCACACCGCAATGTCCTCCGGAAACCGAGGCAAATATCTCATAGCGACCTCAAGATAGATGCAGGACAAATGTCTCAATAATTACGCGTCCGTCTGCTAAACGGATTGTCTGTCCTGCGTGTCCTGCGTGAACCCGTCGACCATCACGACGGGATCCCAGCCCATTGGAATTTATCCACCGCGATGGTTGACCAGGGTTTATAAATTATATGTCGGGAGACACACTGCAGGATTAAAGTTATCCTGTAATTTACGCATCGTTTGGGAGACAATGCGCCCAGCACCAATCCGCGTGCAGCCAGCGCCCGTTATTATTATGATTGGATGATCAGGCTGAATTGTTATTTCGCTCCAACGGTTTCTTGGGCGGGCAGTAGACTTCGAGGTTTGGAACCTTACAACTTTACAAGCCGTCCTCTGTCATCTACCTGACAGCCGAAGGAAAAGGGCTGGCACCACGCTATCGACGGCCATTGCGTCCTGACTGCTGACTGGGAGATAGAGCAAGCACATGATGCCTGGCCATCACCATCACTATCACTCACCATCACCGTCGCACTCACCATCGGATCCAATGTCGACGGGCAGGTGAGCGTCGATCGGTTCCTATCACAGGCGATGCCACCACGATGGAGACTACCGCGGCCAGGGCAACTGTGTCCTCCGTACCTTTGCTACCAAAACCAACCATCTCCACCAGGCTTACCTTTTCAGTTCGACTAACGCCCGCCGTCGCACACCGGCGCCCTTCTAACTCCTGGCCCGCCTGGGGTCCTGGTGCTGATAGGCCTTTTGCCGATGTTCCTGGCCAACCTGAAGTTACGTCCCGCAACGTCTTTAAACAGCCGGCACGATTTTGATTGACGGGGAAACAGTCTTCGTCAGGGGGCCCCCTTGTAAGTAAGTTGCTCCCGTCCCCGCGAGCATGCATGGCAGAATTTACGGAGCATCGTATGGTAGTACCGGAGTAGCGTCCGTCCGGTTGTGTTCTCTCCGGGTTCGAACCCATCCTATCCTATCCTATGCTATCCTACTTGGGGGCTATGGTGCGATCCGTCTTGCCGCGAGGCGGTCCCGAACCGGTGGTGGGCGGTGGTGAATCTGATGCTGCTGGTGAATAAAAAAAAGCAGATGCCCCATCGATCTTTCTCTTTTTTTGTCTGCACTCTGCAGTCCACACTGGGCGTGCAGACGCGCGAGGGCTGAAACATGCGCAGGAACCCAGTTGGCCGCTAGTCGGCGACGGAGACGAGCCGAGCGAGGTATGGGTCGGGATCATAATTTTCTCGACAGCGTTATTCTTTTATCCACCGTCTGGTCAAGCCCCTGGACCTGCCCCACCGGCCTTGTCGATACTTACTCGAAAGGCATTAACCCACCGCGTTGGATCACGTTTCTGCTATCTCTCTTGGGCTTGGTGCCGGCTCCTTTGCCTTCGCTCGCTCGACTGGATCAGCCTTTGTGGCGTCCAGGGCGCCTGCCTGCTCCCCGGCACCTCGATCGGCCTGGCGACTTGTTTGGATTTCGGTGCGAACAGCTCGTGCGGGTCTGGACGCGATCGGCAGCAACACGGGAGAAAGTCTGTCTGCCGCGCGTGTTGTCTGTGCGGTACATGGTGTATTTTATCCTTCGTCTCTTGCGTTTGCGTGCAGGAGCGCTGGGAGCAATAATAATAAGAGAAAAGAGTCAGTGAGAGAGGGGGAGGGAGCGCTCCGCCAAAAAAATTCCAAGACCTTCCTTTTGAAAGCTGGGAGATCCTCCGCAAGCTTTGCGTTCAATGCTAGTTCTGCAAAGGCCATTCTTGTTATTTGTCCTCTTTGAAGATCCTCTCTATCCCAACTATTGTCTGCTACCCCCCGTCTTCTGTGGGGTCGGCCGTCTAAAATAGGCAATCTTGCAACGGCGTGGGCATTATTGAGTTGAGCCTTGAGACGTTTCTGCCCATCTTCATCGCCCAAGGTTCCGAGCGCTTTCTTACTCGAGTCGTTCTTTGGAGTCGGAACAGCGGTGGTCTACTCCCTTATCAGGCGACGTTCTCTTCCCAATGTCTGCACGGGGTCTCTAGCACGCTCCTTTTTCGCCATCTTCGTCAGTCGTTTTCGCTCGGAGCAAGCGCTCTTTCCAAGCCATCACCAACAATCCTTTCCTTCATTTCTTCCTGTTGATCAATCCCAGGCTCCTCGCTGCTCGTTCGGTGAATCCGTGCCTTGCCTGGACTTTTCTTCTCTCCCCGTGAGATGACGATCTAAGAGTTCCAAAAGAGACCTTTCTTGTGCCCTCAAACTGTCGTGCGCACCCAATTAGGGAGAGGTGGATATTCTAGACTGTTGAAAAAGGAAAACCAAATCTAGGCAACATGCTTAGCTATCCTATGCTCGTGTCGGAGGGCCAATGGCCCGAGGATTCTGAGCAGAGGCAGCGGCCTCCCTCGTCCGACCACCCCGAACATTCGTTCCATTTCCGGTCCAGATCGAGTGTACACACTCAGAGCCCAAGACGGCTCTCCGTGTTCAGCGGCCGTTCGAGAAGTAACACGACGACTTCTACCACATCGTCTCGCCGCTCTCCCGCCTCGTCCATGACCTCTGCTGAAACGCTATCCAAGCAATCCTCTCATGATGAACGGCCAGCGGCGAAGCAAGAGAACGTGGCCAAATCAATTTTCTCTCGTGGAAGTCGCATTCTCCGGCGACAAGGAAGCAAATTCAACGTCGCTGCGACTGTGGACGAAGAAGAAGAGGTTGGGAAGATAACGCAGAAATTCGAGGTTATGGATCTCTTCCACCGCAAAGCGCGACACAATGACAACCGTAAGTTGCTCGGATATATTTTTTTATTCTTTCGGTCTCCAGACGTGGGTTTGCTTACTGGATGATGTACCCTAGACGAGCAACTGAAACGTATCATTTCGGAGCCTTATGATTTCCACCATCTCACCCATACCAGCCCGGCCGAATTTCAGGCATTGGATAACGCGAATGACCTCGTCACTGAATTCTCCGCCATCCGCGCTTCTCAGAAACCTGTCTCGGAGCTTAAAGGCATTCGCGCTGAGGACATCCATTTCGAAGACTTCGTCGATCCCCCAGCAAACGGGAGGAGATGGGGGGCGCGATCCCCCCCACGGCGAGTCCTCCGCTGTCG